TAGTGATTAATGGATGGTTAATGAATGGTTAATGGATGGTTGATGGATGGTTGATGATGGTTAATGGATAATGATGATTAAGAATGGTGAACATCGTGGTTAGTGATGGTGAATACTGGAGAATCCATGGGTTTTTCGAAAGAACTTGGCGGTGAACGACCCACGTTTTTCGTAAGTAGGTTAGATTCAAAACGGTATACCCTCTGGTAAACTAACATAACTATGGAAAACCACCATTTTTATGGGTAAATCAACTATAAATGGCAATTTTCAATAGCTATGTTAAATTACCAGAGGGTAAGTGGATTAGCCCTACAGAAATCCCATTAACAAAACCAGGGTGAACTAACCTACAAACAGGATCCGTGGCAAGTTCGCCACCAAGCACTTGTTTCTTTCGGGGGGGATCGTGGATGGAAAATCCTTAAGTAACCAACATTCTTTGGAGGGAATTTCTCATCCATGGGCATATATGTCATGGGTAACGAAAGATGATTCGATCTGGTTTCAACATGTTTCATAACCCATGACGGATCCATGGTGCTGCTATATATGGTGCTCCATGGATCCCATCAATATACCCCAGTCATGTTAGCATATACTATCTACCAGCACCATGGATCCGTCATGGGTAAAGTTTCAACTTCTCTCAATACTATCCGTCTTTGTTGAGTGATTTTGTTGTGCATTTTCTATCCTGCCAGAAGTGGGACAATTAGCCATGCTTCGCCTTTAAAGGGCCGTGTGCCATCAAAAAGGCATGAAATAGAACTGCAACCCAAAATTCGGCTGACATATATGATAATAGCATATAATAGCATAATATGTGTATACACATACAAATCTTTGGATGAATTTTTGGATAACATGTTGGACACGTGGTTTGGTCATGGGGAAAGCATGTGGCGTCGCAGGAATCGTGGTATACGAACTCCTCCCACCGCTGGTGGCATACCTTGTCAGGTGCCTGCGGCTGTGAGAATCTTGGGATCAGCCAAAGGGAAAATCAGCCAGAATTAGTTCGAAATTCTCCAATTTTTTGGGGGTTTCGCAAGGGCGGGATACCTGGATACCGGATACAATCTATGGCCATGAGGAAGGAAAATATGAAGAGATCAGGCTTACTTCAGGTTTTGGAATCATTGTCATGTGGCCAGAGTAAGTTTGAAAGCCCATGTTGCATTGTGCCAAAGCCCAAAATGATGCTGGCATATTTCATGTTTGCGAAAGGACTGAATGCTGGAAAGATTCGCATAGATTCGCAGCACATGGGCTTGGAAAATGGCAAGTTGCAGCTCCATGGTTTGTCGGTGGTGGTATGGTGTAGCAATTTGCCACTGGTTGGGGTCATTGTCATGCCGTGTAGATGTTGATAGAGGCTGAGTAACTAAATCTCTAATTATAGATGAAACAGGCTGTGCCATGGTGATTCTTCTTCCCTGATGTGACTTTCCACTACCTGATGTGACTTTCTGTATCGCCGCCGTGCCATGGGGATGATGTGACTTTTCCCGCATGATGTGACTTAAGCACGGCGCTCGTATATGTTGAAACAAATTTGCGTAGCAAACCGGCAAAGTGGCACGGCACGAAACTGTAGTGTTTCCTGACTTTGAGGACATAAGATATAGATGATATAAGGCTCCATCTGATAGCTACTTCCTCATCAAGGCTCCATGCAAACAGTGAGGCCACTGACATGGCATCGCTCAAGCAACATCTGTTTGTCTTTTAAAACACTTCCTCCTAACACACTATCCCGATGTGTTTTTCCCGGCTCAAACAGGGGGCCTGTTTGCCAAGAAAAAAAGGAGTGATCAACATTTTTTGTTGCTTCATACGCCCTTGAATAGTTTAGCAAATTGCAGTGTTCAACACCCTCTTGGTCGATGATTATCAGGCTGTTATACTGTTATACCAATGTATTGGGGATTTGCTCAATTGAACCCCAAAGTCACTATTTCACTCACCATTTTCCATTCAGAAATCATCTTCCAGATATTTCCAGCTGAGTTTCATCATGTCCTGGCAGGGAAGTTTGGAAGAACTTGTCCCCTGCAACCTGGGGCAATGCCTGAAGCCTCAGTGGTGGGCGGTGCGGAATTGGGGTGTGATGGACTGGGGTTTAAGCAAGAAATGTAGGGAGCTGAGATCTGCGAATGTTTTTTTTTAATGTGAAAATCAATGAAAATCACATAAATGGAGCTTTTAGTGGAAAATCAACTATAAACGGAGATTTCATTCGCTGGGAAAATCATCCAACTTGCTGTTCAGAAAGCCATGGAAATGATGAGCGGAAGGTATGCGGAGGGTATTTGGCCCATCCCACTTAGTAAGTAGGTTATACCCTAGTTATTTTAGTGGATTACCCCTACAAACATCCCACGAACAAGACCCGGATGAACATGGATGAACTAAGCCACTTAGGATTCGTAAGTGGATGTAAGTGGCTAGTGAGCCACCAAGTATGGATCAACTTTGGATCCACTTTTGACCATCCAAATGATCTCATCACAGATGGCCTTTTTTGGTCACAAAAACTGTGTTAATCCTCTACATTCCACCATGGTGGGAGGTGTTGATAACGGGGGTTTGCGGATTTGCCCAGTAAGAGGTCAGCGGGATGATCTTTGTTGGCGTTGTCTTTGTCCATTTGTTCTGAACATGTTAACCGAGTTACTGAAACAAAAGCTTGTGGGTTGTGGGTTGTGGGTCAAAAAACGGTACCCTGGCAAACAACCACCAACAGTGCTGGATTTTTTTGGGGTTCATCCCCCAAACCCCCAAACATGGTATTTCAATGTATTTCATACTGGTTGGTGGTTTGGAACATTTTTTATTTTCCACAATATATGGGATAATCCTTCCCATTGACTAATATTTTTCAAGGTGGTTATTGCACCACCAACCAGCATTGGTTGTAAAGCCACCCTCATATTGCGGAATTTCGCTGGTTCTGCGGATAAAAAAAGGCCATCATAAGTGATGCCCATCATACCATCCCCGAGAGATCCTGGATGCTCAACCCACGCGCCACTACACGGCTAGGCTAGGCATTTGTAGTCGATAAAATCGCATCAAAATAGGGATCAATTCCCATTGATAGCTGATGTTCACATTCAAGCTGCCGTTGCAATCTGCAATTTCCCATAGCCACGGAAATTATCCATTTGTAGACTTAAACATTCACATGTTCCATGGCTATATGTTAGATTACCAGAGGGTATACTGTAGTGCAAATTGAGGGAACTCATATCGTTAGTCATGACCCACATTAGCAAACCGGGTTGTGAGCTCACTTCGATGGCCTATTTTTCAGGGAATATCCCCACAAAATATGCCCACAAATATAGTACAGTACCTCCATGTATTGGACCCTGGAGATCTCCCATTGATCACTGGTGTTTCGGCCTCAGGTAGCGACCAAAAGGAAAGAGATTGTAAGTTCTCACCCTGGAACGAGTGCTCGCGGCATGTCATTTTTATCGGCATCGTGTCGGCATGTTTGAACATGATTGAACATGCAAATGCATGAAACATGAAGATTTACCCTCTGGTAAACGTTTACATAACTATGGGAAATCACCATCTTTAATGGGAAAACTCACTATAAATGGCAATTTTCAATAGCTATGTAAACGTTTACCAGAGGGCAGGTTTATTTGTAATTATTTAACCTCCCATCTATGGCAGCTTAATTATGTTTAATGTTTTTAAACACACATCATGATGAACCATGGGATTCTCGTTGTTTTTTTCTCACATCAGGTCCAAACAACTAAGGTTCCCCACACAATCTCGACGGCAGAAAGTTTTTTTCTGTGGCGACCGTTACCTGGAGTGGCAAATCCATGCAACTGAAGCAAATTGTGTTTTTTTTGTTCGAGAAATCAGAAATGTGCAGGATGGGGCCTCCAAGATACAGGTTATAAACACACTTATATATATATAATTTCTCTATATTTCTCTTAGTTTCCAGGTATCAATGGGAATTCCAGGATCCTAAAATGGAGGTACGAGGTACGTAAACGTACCATATAAGGTCAAATTTTTGGGGTATATCCCCTTACATAGCCCTGAAAAATTGGCCTTATGGTTGGTACCTCCAATTTGGGTTCCTGTTGCATGGCCATTGAAAGTAGTAAGATCTTCAAACCTGGTGGGATCCCATATCTGTTCCGAAAATGGGTTAGACCGTGTATACTTTGACAAGAAAAACCATGTTCGTTGTCAACTTGGTCAATAATTGATACTACTTGGTTAACTATATACTTTAATGGTATACTTATGATACTAATGGGCTAACTTGGTCTACTTTGATAAGGACAACCGTTTTTTTTTTCCCCAGATAAAAAGAGATCCCCCGTCCCAAAAATTGTTCAAAGCCAGATTGGTTGGAAAGGGCTCCCCGGATCTCCCCAGTTTTTGTCATCGGGAAGTATATCCTCTGGTCAACGGCCATTTTAGGATCCTAAATTGGAGGTACCTACCATATATAAGGCCTATGGAAGGCCTATGTAAGGGGATATCCCCCCAAAATATGGTCTTATATGAGGATCCTGAAATTCCCATTGATATATCCTCTGGTAAGTTGTCACAGTTTGCTATTGAACATGGCCATTTAGAAATAGTGGATTTTCCCATGAAAAATGGGTGATTTTTCCATATTGTTTTTTGTAATTTGTAAACCAGAGGGTAATTGGGATAATTGTTGGTTTATAAACCCCATTAACCATAGTTATCTAGTTCGTTATATCTACAATAAACCATAGTTAAGTCACTTATAAACCAACTGAACGCTATATGAAGGGGGCCCCTGGGTCCACCTTATGATTGCATAAAACTAACCTTACAACTGGAATGATGGGAATTGGATTGGGGTATCTATAATCTATCCCAACATGTCCCTTTTTTTTCAGGTGAGTGAATTATGTTGATGTATCCAGATGCGTCCAGATGGGAATTTCGCAGCTGGGTCACTGGGTCAGCACGCGCGTGCCATGCCGCAATGCCCGCCAGTTGGAGTCATTGTGATTCTCACGACCAAAGGGACCGGCTGTCGCTGTTACCGCCGTTACCGTTGCCATCCCACGAGGGTGAGACTGACAGATCACATCAAACTTGCTGGCGAACAGATGGTTCCCCCATGTTTCTAGGTATTCTAGGTCAACCAACTGGATGGCTAGGGACTAATCCTGAATCATCTTTTAAGGTATTGGAATATCTACGTTCACCAGCTAAGAATTTGTCAATTTGTCATTTCTTGCAGGGGCCCTCTGGCTGATTGGCCACGATTTGAGTTCCAGATCGAGCTTGGTCGGGAACCCCCCAAGCGAGCTTAGGATGGTTTGTTTCATGGAAAGTCACAATCTAAAATGGATGATGAACAGGGGTACCCCCTATATTAAGAAAAACAAATAGAATTTATTCACAATATAGTTAAGATAGATCATTATATACCATTACAACCCCCATTTAAAATCTAAAGCTCCATATTTTAGATGGTCTTTTCGCAGCCTTGCACGGCGCAGGAACGCTACCGCTTGATCGCCGTCGAGCCGTTGATGGACAGTGGCGATGCTGTGCTGGGCTGTTGGGGGCAGCCACCCAACAATGGAGTGGGATGGATGGGTTCAAGTTTTTTGAGAGCTGAGGACACTTGCATTGAAACAAAACCGTATATGGATTTATATGGATTTTATATAAACTATCAGATTTTTGTTTATATAGGTTATTTTATATGTAAACACAAATCCATATATATATATATATTATATAAAAATCCCTCATTGATTGGGGTTAGATGCAAAAAAGACATGAAAAACCATATCCGTCATTGATTGGTGTTTCAGCCGGACATGTTCCCTAAAACCGCAGTGGAATGGGAAGCGCAGAATTCTTTGAGGCTTTGGTGCGCTGTAGGATGAATCGGGAATGCGGTAGCAACTTTTGCAGATCCCCCGAAGCAAATGGAGGTTTGAAGCTGGGACAGTATTACATACCCTCTGGTAAACTAACATAGCTATTGAATATTCCCATTAAAAATGGTGATTTTCCATAGTTATGTTAGTTTACCAGAGGGTAAATGGGATAATGGGGAATTTTCCAGCAAGCCATGTTTGATTTACCGGATGGTAACTTTACTCGTGGATTTTTTTTGAAAACAGATTGGACCTTTGGAAATATTTGGAACACTGCTCCATGTCAGTGGACCTGGCCATTTTTGAGAAAAGACACCTTCCATCCCGTTTGAAAATCGCCTGGTTGATTGGTGAATATGAGAACTTCGTCTGCCCAATAAATCTTGGGGATTATGATGTCAACCAAGAATTTTTATATTGGATTTATGGAAATATATGGAAATTGATCAACCGTCCCATTTGAACAGATGATTTTCCCATTGGTTTCGGGTCCTTCACGTCCTTCGCAACGCCTTAAAGGGCTGGTGAACACCGGCTGTGGCAGGATGGCAAACCCTGCAATGGCACGCTCAAAGAGGCCGTCGATCTAGTCGATCTGCCCCCAGTGATGTTTGCTGGTTAAGCCCCATGAATTATGGATATACCTGCAGGATGGTGCCCCCGAGTGATGTTTGTTGGGTTATAAACCCCATTAACTATAGTTATATCTTCCATAAACCAAAGTTATGGGAGTTATAAACCAACTTAGCTAACTATGGGGCACCACCTTGTGGGTAAACTATAACGACCTCACTGTTCTCCCGAACCCTGGAATAAGCAATCATCCCCATAGCTGGCCGCAAGATTGAGGTTTGTGAAATCTTAAAATTTAGCCCCATATATCTGCCATAGACATCCATAAAGCCTAGTGAGTTCTTAGAATTATAAACTCACCAACTTTGTCATGAACAGCTGGGACACCCCCTTGAAGTTGTTCTTGGCTTCCCCAGCTTCATTGGTGGATTGTTGCTAACAGATATTACATGATATCACAACTTCCTCTTGATTGGTAGTAACTAGGTCAATCTTGGATGGGTAGTTTAATCCTTTAGTCTTTTGGATAATCCATAAATATCAAACTATTTTGTTCATTTGGGGGGATTCTGATAATCCATAAATATCATACTATCTGGTTCATTTGGGGGATTCTGATAATCCATAAATATCATACTATCTGGTTCATTTGGGGGATTCTGATAATCCATAAATATCATACTATCTAGTTCATTTGGGGGATTCTGATAATCCATAAATATCATACTATCTGGTTCATTTGGGGGATTCTGATAATCCATAAATATCATACTATCTGGTTCATTTGGGGGATTCTGATCATCCATAAATATCATACTATCTGGTTCATTTGGGGGATTCTGATAATCCATAAATATCATACTATCTGGTTCATTTGGGGGATTCTGATAATCCATAAATATCATACTATCTGGTTCATTTGGGGGATTCTGATAATCCATAAATATCATACTATCTAGTTCATTTGGGGGATTCTGATAATCCATAAATATCATACTATCTGGTTCATTTGGGGGATTCTGATAATCCATAAATATCATACTATCTGGTTCATTTGGGGGATTCTGATAATCCATAAATATCACACTATCTGGTTCATTTGGGGGATTGATAATCCATAAATATCATACTATCTGGTTCATTTGGGGGATTCTGATAATTCGTAAATATCATACTATCTGGTTCATTTGGGGGATTCTGATCATCCATAAATATCACACTATCTGGTTCATTTGGGGGATTCTGATAATCCATAAATATCACACTATCTGGTTCATTTGGGGGATTCTGATCATCCATAAATATCATAGGGCCTAGAGATACATCTAGATCCCTTTTTTCTAAAGACTACTTCATGGGCTCCAGATCTTCGGCCCAAGTCACATAAGCCACGTGCCAGATCCGTCCCTGCACCATCGCGGTGGACTGTGTCATTAGCCCTTGGACACCTTGGGATCAGTGTCCGGAGACCGAAATCGCGGGTTCCCACGGGGTGACTTTGAGGGGTTTTTGACAAAGTGCTCTGACGGAGGGGTTTGGGTTTTTGGAAAATGATGATTGGATTCTTGGATGCGAAAATCACCTAGAAGTATTATAATTTAATGAATAATTGGATGTAATTGGCTGGTTGGTGGTTTGGAACATGAAGTTTGCTTTTCCATAGATTGGGAATAGTACTCCCAACTGACGAACTCATATTTTTCAGAGGGGTTGAAACCACCAACCAGTATATAAGTATTATAATTTAATGAATAGTGGATATGAATGATGGGAAAATAGCTAATGGGAAAACCACCTATAATTAATCGATGATTGGAGGTATGAAGAATGGGAAAATCATCGACGTATTGGATGTGGGGTAGGACCTACGAAGTCTTGGATTTGCGGATATTTGCGGTTTGTCGATGATTTTTGGTCATTCTGAGTCATTCTCCCGACGGGAAATCCATTACTTGGGTATTTTTTTTTGGGGGAATAGTTCTTTTTTTCTAGGGGGGGTCCTGAGGCAAATTCAAGGATGCTGAGTTTGGCATGCTGAAATTTCGGAAGATGATTTCATGCAGTGGCAACGTATTTGAGTTCCAGATCGAAATTCTTGTTTCCTTTGTGTTGATGGATATGTCATGATATGTCCCTTGCTGGTGCTGTGTGAATCAGTCCCAGTATCCCAGTACTGTGGTTCAGAGGGCCCATCCATGGATATACCCTCTGATTATGACTAACATAGCCATGGTATAGATGGCCCATTGAAATAGATGGTTTACCTAGCTATAAAATGGTGATTTTCCATGGCTATGTTAAATAACCATATGATATATACATATATATATATAACTTTTATATAACCTATATGGTTATATGATCTTATATGTAACTATATATATAATATATATACACACTCCCCAAAAGTAACATCGAACTGCATGCTATTCCTGAGGTCTCCTAACATGAACCTATGGTACGGTCTCAAGTATATATATATCTATCTCTCTATCTATACATATATATATATTATATTCCCCATCTGCAGATGTAATAACTATGTATATATATACACATATGTATCTATCTCTCTAACTACATATATATATATATATATATATTAGCAATATTCCCCATCTGCAGATATAACTATGACAGGTCTCCGTTCACGAAACCAAGCGATTTCTGGCGACGCTGAGGCGACAAGTCCTGCGATGGCGGTCAGAAACAACGGCAGCGCCAGGTTTTTCAGCCGCGCTTGGTGAAGCGACGAGGGACGCGAGGATTTTGGGTCATTTTCTCAATGGGAAATCCATGGAAATCCACTACAGGATGGCTGAATTCTATGGTCTATGCTAGATATAACTGCATAATTCATGGGGTTTACAAACTAACTGATAACTGGATATAATGAACTAGTTTTTATGGGGTGAATCTAAACCAACATTCACACCACGTTTTGGAGGCACCATGCTGTAATGAGGATTTTCTTCGGGGGGTCCTGGACCGCAAATCCCAAGTGTCCAGGCCGCAATTTGGGGCCCCTAGATAGCTAAGTTGGTTTGTAAGTCCAATAACTATGGTTTATTTTACTTATAAACTATAGACAATGGGGTTTATAAACCAAGTTATAACATGTTATAACTGGGGGGCACCACATTGTAGTTTGACTAATTCAAATGTCTTCAATGTCTTAAATGATGATTTCCCTAAAATGAAACTGCCATATATAATTTCATATACCCTCTGGTAAACGTTTACATAACGAAGTGGAACATCACCATGCTATCAATGGGTAAATCCACTATAAATGCCATTTTCAATAGCTATTTTGACATAACCAGAGGGTAACTGTGGTTTCCGCCATCCAAGGTTGAGCTGAATCCCAAGCATGGTGGCAAGTGGGGCCCACAGCAGAACACCTTGTCAAAGCCCTGGAAAGCCGCTGGTGCCCCGAGAAGAAACATGTTTTTTTTTGTGCATGGGATTATAGGTTATTTGTATTTGTATTTGTATTTGTTGTTGTTGTTGTTGTTCGTAAATATTATCCTGCATATGATTAAATAATATTAACTATGTACCCCAATGTATGACAATGCATGGGTTTGTTAATGTCCAAATATATCATAGTAATACCATATAGTCATTTTGCGTGATTTTGCATTCGCATATGACTTTCCTGATATGTACTGTACACATCTTATAGATAGTACCCTGGCGTGTTCGATTGCCATGTCTACTATCAGAGAGTATACATGAGTACGTATAACAATTGCATAATGTATAGACACATAAAACACATTACATTACATTACGTTGCATTGCATTCATATGCATGAATTACTGTACATTACATTAGATTACGTTACATTAAATTACATTACACTACATGCATTACATGCATTACATACAGTACATACAGTACATGCATTATGTACCTACCTACCTACGTATGACGTATGTACGTACGTGCATGTATACATAATCAAAGATATACAATGATATAGTTAAGATACACATGGTTTTCATATTTTTTAATCTACACATTCATTGTTTCATATGTTTGTATGACCCTCCAGTAACTCCAGCAAACATTGCGAACTGGAAAAACATCCTCGAGTCCGATGATTTGTTCACCAACAAGTTGTCATTGTTTTGGTATCTGGCTGATTGGCAATGATTGATTAATCATTGATCATCTAGTTTTTCTCTGATGCTCCAACTGGATGTTTTTTCACGTTGCCCTTCAAAGCCCCGCTTTGACATGGCAACTTTCAAGGCCATGTCCTCTTGGACTGATTGAGACGACTGGATGCAACAGAGAGCCTGGGGATCACAGAAAGGCGAGGCACCAAAATTGGTAATTTAACATAGCGAAAAAATGGATGAACATGGTCCATTTATAGATGATTTAGCTAAAGGCTAAAGCGGTTTCCGTAAGTGGGGGATCCCTAAACGGTTGGTTTATAATGGAAAATCCTTTTAAAATGGATGATATTTAGGAATACCACCATTTCAGGACACCCTTATGTTTACCTATGAAAAAAAATAGTGATTTTCCAGTTCGCTCTATTAAATAAACATAGGGTCACGATGAGGATGTAGCCAAGAAGTATGTCATCCCGCTGTAGAATGGGATGGTACTCAGCCTCATCCATAAGCAATAAACCAGAGTCATTATCTCTATAAATCAATATTAAAAATAGTGATAAAAAATAAGATATCAACAATCGTAATACAATAATATATATATATATTATAATATTAATGATATAAATATATATATATATGTATTATAATATAATGATATAATATATATATATTACATTATACACATATCCATGGTTGAGGTTGATTTACCCTACCCGATTATATAATCAACTAGGGTGTATGAATTGGATGTTGACATCAATTCTGCTCAAATTACTAGCCAAACCTTGGATGGGCGAAAAATATAACAATCTCACTGGCTGACCTCGCTATACATGATGCTTGGTAAGTGCAAGCACCCAAATTGGGCTGGATCACAGTCAGTCAGTCGCCTAACTGATGTTATGTTTTTTTGAGTGGGGTTTCTTCATGTTTGCGAAGCACAAGCGACAAGTAGCGACTGAATTTGGTTCTGAGTAAACTTGGCAAAGGGAAGTCAAATGGTACGCAGTATTTTGTTCGCCGTATATGGCGCTGATATACTGTGTATACATACAAATTATGCGTATCATATATATATATATAATGTATATGTAATACCCAGTAATAGACGGCATTTTTTGCAGGACCCAATAAATCTATCACAGTTTCTTTCCAAAAATCTCCAGCATCTCCTGCCAAGGCCGTGTGATGACAAGGAGGTGAATTGCAAGGTGAGCATTTGGAGCGTGTCGGGCTGCCCAGCGGAGAAACAATGGAGGAGTGGGAAAAATCATGGAACTAAATTTGGTGGATTTTTCATTGCTACTTGGTGGGGAACTACCCGCGAATCCTGGTTGTGGCTTATATCCTTGGTGAGTGGGATGTTTGTAAGGTTCATCCACTGAAATAACTAGGGTTATAACCTACTTACCCTCTGGTAAACGTTTACATAACTATGGAAAATCACCATTTTCAATGGGAAAATCCACTATAAATGGTCATTTTCAATAGCTATGTTAAATTACCAGAGGGTGCTAAGTGGGTAGTGAGCCCAAGTATGTTTGATTACCAGGCCGGGTAACGGTGAAAAAGCCCCGCGGTGACACCTCATGGCTTGGATGGTTTCGTTTCAGTATGGTGCCCATCCTGAAGTGATGTGAATGTTGGTGAACAGATTCACACCATAAAAACTAGGATTATCTATATAAGTTACCGAACTAGATAACATGATAACTATAGATATACCATATGTATCATAAACCATAGTGAATACATATATCTAGCATTTAACGAACTAGCATTGATTAGATTCACTATGGTTTAGAATACTAGTTCGTTATATATGATTAATGAATACTAGTTCGTTATATATATCATGCTTTATTCATGCTAGTTATCTAGTTCGTTATATCATGTTAATATGTTATATCTAGCATAAACCATAGTTAATTCAGCCATTTATGTCTCAACTGAACGGTATCTGAAGGCGCCATCCTGTACCTTTTTTTTATGTTCACGATATTTCCAACGGCGAAGAATTTGGGTTTTTGACCCGATTGACCCAGGCCCTAAACCCTAAACCATCCCAAGTTTGACCAGAGCTGGAGGTATCTCCCTCTTCATGGGGAGCCAGTTGGAGCTACTCATGAAAAGAGTTTCCCAAGCATATGAATTAACTGGTTGGTGGTTTGGAACATGTTTTTTTCTCCATTCAGTTGGGAATGTCATCATCCCAACTGACGAACTCATATTTTTCAGAGGGATTGAAACCACCAACCAAATTAAAGTTGGTTAATCCTGATCATATATTTCACTAAATCCCCTCCCAATCCCCATTCAGTTCCCAAACCGGAGGTTTATTTCATCGGTTTTCAATATACTTCCAATATCCCATCAACATTCTCATCATTATTCATTATCCCACTTATATTCCATTATCAATTATATATTATACATTATTATACTATCCCATATATACGATATAATTCATTATCCCAATCCATTGATATGATATCCCATTTTATGGATAATGAATTAATCTGGGATTGGATAATGATTATCCCATTTTCTGGATATTATGATTATCGTATATAAAATGGATATAAAATGGGATATCATCCCATGTATTATCTCATGACTTTATATATATATATGATATGATTCCATTATACTATCCCATTGATATGATATCCATTACACTATCCACTGATTCACCTGACTTTTCCCACATTCTTTTGCACCTGCCACGGTCACCAACCAAGGTGGTCGAGATGTAGCGCTTCTTGTGGTCCTGGAGTCAAGGCACCGAAAAAAAACCGAGAGATGCGTCCAACACGCGGACGCGGGTCACGATTCGCCGCCGAGAGAAGTCCCGGGAAACGTCTAGTCATGGGTTAATGATGGTTAATGATTGTTAATAATGGTTAATAATGTATGGTTAATAGTGGTTCATGATAATTAATGGGTTATAGAGAATGATCTATTCACCTACCTGGTTAATGATAGTTAATAGTAGTTAATATTATGGTTAGAATAATGGTTATCTATGTGATAAATATATGGTTTATGATTAATCATAAGTAATACCATCTGGTTATGACTAACTAACAGTTTGCCATGGAAAGATCCACCCATTTTTAAGAACGGTAAACCATCTATTTCGATTAGGGCCATGGCTTCCATGGCTATGTTAGTCACAACCAGAGGGTACCTGGGAGACAATTTTTAATTTGCCAGATGGGTTGCTAAAGCCTGGATGGTTGATGATTAGTGGGATTATACATGATAAAATACTAATAATCCAATAGGAATGTTAATAATCCAATAGGGGAATCATGTTAATAAAATACATTAGTGGGATCCTTTATATATTGGGGATTGTAATAATCCAATAGGATCCATGGTTCTGGTATATATGCTAACATGACTGGGGTATATTGATGGGATCCATGTTACCATATATAGCATACATGGATCCTATGGGTAATCCAATAGGGGAATCCTTGTTAAACAACCAGTATGTTACGTTACCCTCCAGTAATGTAGCGAACTGGGAGCCATGGACCATAGAAAGTTCGATGACTGACCTGTTAAGATGTGGTGTTTATTCCCATAATGTGGGAAACATAATGTCATAAACCACCCATTTGGGAATGGTAAACATACCACCTATCTATGGTGATTTGGGAGATGGTTTATGACATGTTCTACCCACATTAGTTATGTTAGTTTACCAGAGGGTGAGTTCATGCCAGTTGTAAGTGGACAATCCCAGGAAATACCCAAACTAAAGTTTTTTTTTAGCTGGGAAAGTCATCTATGAATGTCAGATATAACATGATATAACTATGAATAGATGACTATATCATGTTATGGATGATATAACATAGTATCATATATAACATGATATAACTATGTATGGGTTATGTAGGTCATCCCAGTTAGAAGTGGACATTGCACCTTATTTAGCGACATATTCTAAGCTGGACAGTTATAACATGTTATAACCTACTAAGTGGGATGAACGACCAGGTGACCAAGTAAAGAGGAAGTCATCCTATTTAAATATCCGAAGATAGCCATATGATAATCCCAGAAAAGATAGAAATGTGTTTCCTGCATGTCCTACAATGTGGGGCCCCCTAATGCCTAATGCCCCCTAGATAGCTAAGTTGGTGAACATAAGTCCAATAACTATGGTTTATTATACTTATAACTACAGTTAATGGGGTTTATAAACCAACGTATAACTGGGGGGCACCACATTGTAGATGATGTTTTCCCTTTACAAATTCCAGGTTTCCAAGTGTTCGGCATCTCAAAGAAGGAGGCCTCTCAACTCAGACCCAACTGAGACCATAGATGGCCCGAAATACCAGTTATAAGTCAGTTCTAACCCCATTGATGGATATTTATGTGAACCCCATTTATAGCCGTTCAGAACAATTTATAACTGGTGAAAGGCTTTAACTGCAGATGAAATGGATGGCTTCAATCATTCACAAGCCCATTACATCACCATGAAATCACCACTAAATCCCATGAAATCACCACTAAATCACCATGAAATCACCATGAAATCACCATTGAATCAATTGAATCACATTCACCAACTGGCAGCTCTCTTCGTTCCAGTGCGCCAGGAGAGAAGTCGCACGGTGACCAACAGGCGAATGATGGCAATGCAGATATTCCATAGAGGGATATCGTCCATCAAAGGGAATATACCCTCTGGTAAACATACAGTTTGCTATTGAAAATAGCCATAGAAATAGCGATTTTTCCCATTAAAAATGATGATTTTCCATGGTTATGTTAGTTTACCAGAGGGTAATGTGAACATCATGTGAATATAATGGGAATATAACAGAACATGGGATGATTCACCCCATTTATGGTTATATAATGGAACTATAATGCGGCATTTTTCGGTTTATAATGGATAAATAGATCATGGGAGTACCCATCAATGGAAATATAACGGGAACCGAATGGGTATATCATGGGAATATAGTAGGAATGTAATGGGATATCATGGGATATACGTGGATATTACCGTTATTGAACAGTTTGCTATGGTATAGATGGCCTATAGAAACAGATGATTTATGAGGATACTGTTAAAACAATGTGATTACTTAAAAAAAAACAGTTTTGGGGAAAGCTAGGATAAATACATGGATTTGTCATGGTTTGTCCAATTTTTGGTACCCTCTGGTAATTTTTAACATAGCTATTGAAAATCATCATTTTTAATGGGAAAATCCACTATAAATGGCAATTTTCAATAGCTATGTTAGTTTACCAGAGGGTAATTTTGGTCTGTGAACGGCAAGTGCTGGGGATGGATAACACTAATCAAACGTGGCGGGCCGCTGGGAATCCCATGGGATTTGGGATAATCCGAGGTGGGCCCCAAAAAACGAGAGAGCGAACAGTTCACTAAGAACTTCGTGATGGTATAGTTTGGATATGTTTGGATAACTATGGTTTATGGAGGATATAACATGATATAACAGTATGTTTTTCGTATTCATGGGCTTTCTAAAGCAACACAACTCACTTGAGGACCCACAAGCAGTAAAGGTAGCACTCTGGCACTCGTGCCATGGATTTTTTCAGGGATAGCAATATCCAAAAGGCGACTAGGGATGGACAGCGTCGTGACCTCACATCGTGACTTCGTAAACTTCGTAAATGACGGGAAAATTTGATAATTTGGATGTTCCAGGGTTCATGTTCCCAGCATATAATTCGCCCAAAGTAAAAAAAATATGTTTCTGGCTAATTTTTATTAATTTTTTGGAAAATTTCGCCAGAAAATTTCATCAATCGCAGTTGACTTGGCAACTTGGTCGCAGGTTGAGTCACTGCGGGGCAGGCTGCGTGGGAAATCTGACACAGGCGGTCTGGTGGTGCTAGGACCTGGAGGGGCGGGTGGACCTTAGCGGAGGAATGGGGGCATCCCTACATAAGTCAGCAATTTTTGTTTCGGATGTTCCATGAAGTAAACCATCCAGCGAGCTTGGGGATCCTCCGTTTATGGAACGGCTCAGTCATGACTTAAGTTTCGAAACATGCAGAATTTGTGAGACACAATGGATCATGAATCCCACCAATCTTTATGAGTCACGAGAGTGATACTGTGGATGGTTGCGAAATCCTGCAGTTCGTAGATGGTTTATCCCACGGAAATCTGTATATATAATATTCTATCATACATGTACATATGAAATAACTCGGGAGAACCCCTGGCGTATGGTGTTTGCACTGCACAAGGGTCACGCGTCCTTCCTGGTCTGATGGTCAGGTGGAACCCTGCTACTTGGAACACTGTGGAGGATGCGATCCCTGTGCACAGACCTCAGGTTTTCGGAAGCAGGGCAGCCATGGAAAGTCTCTGTTTCTATGGAGGTTTCAATGGGAAAAACATGGCAAAGTCATGGGAACGTCATCTATGAATGGAGGTTTAATGAGACAATCCTCTATAGATAGTGGGAAATCCCCTGTCTAATGGAGGTGTTAATGTGGGAACATATTGGAAAATCATCTATAAATAAATGTGGTATATAGCTATATACTATAGTCTTGGATTTGCGGTTTGTCGATGGTTTTGGTATTTTCCGAATCGCGGGATTCTACAGGGCATACTTCAATTTTTGTTGGGCCCCCATGAGCGAATCCAACAACAGTGTAAAGCCAATGATAGTCACAATGTGGGGCCCCCGTGAAATCGAAATCGCGTTCAGTTGGTGAACATAACTCCAATTTCACTCTGGTTTATTATACGCAAATAACGAACGAGTATTCATGGGGACAACTCCAATTTCACTTGGGTTTATGGTAGATATAACTATACTTTTCATGGGGTTTTTATTTGTACACCATTTTCCCATAGATTTTCCATAGATTTTCCATTCATGGGGTTTTTATCTGTTCACCAACGTTCACGTATCACGTACACGGGGGCACCAGAAAAAATTGCATCATTCCCTGGCTGGCCTGGCTTATCGGGATGGTGATGTGGAAAACATCCATCGGGGCTTAAACATCCTGGTTTTTCAACCACGTTGTGCCTGGCATCTTTTTTGGTCCAATATGGTATATCACTAGCATGAATGGCAATGGACATGCTTAAAAATGGTTTATTCCCTGGTATATCACTAGCTGCATCGGAATAACTAATGGTCCAATCACTAGCAATGGAGAATATTTTGGCGATGGGTTAGCTGTCCAGCACTTTGGAGGGTACATCAAGCAGCATTTTATGGCCACATGGGATAAAATTCACTGATCTTCTATTGGTATACATTAGATATCATTAGATTACCAAAAAAAAATGCGAGATTTTTCACCTTACCAGACATCGGCCCTTAGTGACACGGCTATTAGCCATGCTATTCATAACTGTAGTTTGCTCAGATGTTGGTGGGTGGTTGGTATCCCAGATGTTCTGATCATCCCAAGACTGGTTTCAAAACTGGGACTGGTGGTTACCATCTGGTAAACATACAAAAAGCTATTGAACATGGCCATTGAAATAGTGGATTTTCCCATTAAACATGGTGTTTTTCCATTGCTATGTAAACGTTTACCAGAGGGTATGGGATGTCATCCTTCCCATTGACGAGTTTTCCATCATTTTTCAATATGGTTATTGCACCACCAACCAGATGAATATTGCGGTTTCTTTGCTGTTATACTGTAAGTACCCCTTTGGAGAGTTTAACATAGCGAACTGGAACATGGCCCATTGAAAGATCCTTGACCTATCAAACATGTTGACAACTGTTGATGTTCCTTAGTTGTGTAAGAAATTCATACAAGAATCCTTATTGTTGACCCATTAATATCCATTAATATCCCATTGTTGTGTAACAAATTACTGTAATATCAATAGTCAATATCCATTAATATCCCATTGTTGACCCATGATTCTCCTTATTAAAGCATACTAAACCATATTACTTGGCGGCTCATCCCACGAATACTAAGTAGGTTAGTTCACCCTGGCTTAGTTAGTGGGATAAGTAGGGTTAATCCACGTGGGTAGTTCGCCACCAAGTAACAATTCTTAACCATCATTACCCATTGTATCCCATTATTCACCATCATGAACCAGTATTAACCATAGATGATAAACCATATCCAAGATTTTTAACCATCATTAATCATTATAGACCCATTTATTCCATTCATTGGATAACCATCATGAGTCATTAACCATCATTAACCAGTATTAACCACTCTGGATTTAGAAACCATAGATTTATCCCTATTAACCCTTACTGTATTAACTGTTAACCATAGATGATCCAGATACAGTTATGGTTAATAGGGATAAATCTATGGTTTAGATTAATACTATTAACCATAGTAATTTATCCCATTAGATAGGGATCCCTATTAACCATCATTAACCATCGCATATAGATAGATAGCCATATATGAAAATGGAAAATTAACCATCATTAACCATCCCTATTAACTGGTTATTAGTCATATTAGATCCCCAAAAAATCGCATTCAGATTCGGTGTCTCCCTGGGCGACCCTGGCGATCACAGGCTTGGGGCGACTGGCGCGAATGGAGCGAGTGCGATGTACACTGTGGTGGTGGCCGAGAGACTCAGTGACTCCCTTGGAGGTCCATCACGGCCGCATCACATACCCGGCCTGGTAAACATACAAAAAGCTATTGAAAATGGCCATTTATAGTGGATTTTCCCATTAAAAATGGTGATTTTCAATAGCTATGTTAAATTACCAGAGGGTATTTGAGGCCTCATCAACCACCAATATTATCCGGTTGGTGGTTTGGACCATGAATTTTATGACTTTCCATATATTGGGAATAATAATCCCAACTGACTAATATTTTTCAGAGGGGTTGACACCACTAACCAGTTATGATTAAGGTGAAGAATGGGATGATAATGGGATAGTGGGACAATAGTGGGATAATTCTGGTTAATCATGGTTTTTTGGACATCACATTTTATAATAATGGGATTATAATTTATAATAGGGATTAGACTATCAATAGGATGATTATGATTATGAGATTATGATTGAGATAATGGGATTATTATGATTATCAACCACCAATAATCACTTAGTTGATAGGTTATTTTGGGGATTATACTATCTGGTTTAATGGGTATTATAATAAACCACAATAGGGATAACTATTAACCAATTAATCTGGGTAAATGATAACCATTACTAACCAATCTTGGTAAATTTCATCACGACCTCACTGTTCTCCCGAACCCTGGAATCATCCCCAAGATAGCCTTATTTCAGGTTAGTGAATGATTATAATTTACCCAGTTTATTGAGGGCTTATTGATCATCTATCCCATAATTATCCTTAAGTGGGATGATCTTTCCAGAAAGCACCAAATCCCATTTTTCTAGCTACAGGATGGTGGACCCCAGTGATGTGAATGTTGGTTTATAACCCCCATAAACTATAGATATCTACAACAAACCCTAGTTATATCTCAGCTTAGCTATCTTGGGGTCATCCTGTAATCGTCATGGCTTTTTTGGGAGATGAAACAACCAACGTTGGGGTATAAGATTTCCAAGGGGCGTTTGCCACACAATTTCGTCCTGGGATTTCCAAGGGGTCAGTACTATCACAATGATAGGTATATTATTAATTATTATGGTATATTGACGAACAGTTTCTACATTTCCATACCCCGTCTTTGACATTCATAATGTGCGCCAGAAGTTACCAAACGCGGAATCCCTATTCGGGGACTTTTGGCAAAATTTTGGGACAGGAAGTTGAAGCACATGTTGAGGTTAATCATCACAATCTATAATATCGCTATTTAATCCTGATTGCTGGTGACTGGAACATGGCTTTTGTGACTTTCCATTGGGAATTTCATCATACCAACTGACGAACTCCATGATTTTTCAGAGGGGTAGGTACACCACCAACCAGAATCCCATTATTAGTTGAATCTCGAGTGATTCCCATTAAATTCTATGGAAAATCCCCATGAAACCTTGATTGAGAAGTGTGTTCTTGTTGGTTTTCTTTTGGTTTTGGCCAGCGTAGCGGGTTGTATCTTCAGCCCCAGCCTCTAATACCTTGGTGTGAAAGAGATTGAATCCCAATTTGTGGTGGTTTTTGCTCCGGTTTTTCGTTGGTAAACCACCGATGTTTTCTCATGAAATCACGTTTATGATGGTGAATCACCCATTTTTGGCAGCTGTGTAAAAGTGGGTTTTCATCACTTTTTGTCCTTAGATTTGCTCGAAATTGGCTGGGCTTTCGATCAGTTTAATCTTGTTTGAGATCAATGACATGAGAGCCACATCATCATTAATGTGAATATAATGTATTTAATGTGGTGGCACACCTTTCATTTAGACATGTATTCATAGTCTTAAATATACCACATCCCACATCATCCCACATCCCATCAATGGCCATTTCAGGAACCTAAATTGGAGGTACCTACTATATATAAGGCCTATGTAAGGCCTATGTAAGGGAATATCCCCACAAAATATGGCCTTATATGGTACAGTACCTCCATTTTAGGATCCTGGAATTCCCATTGATCCCACATCCAGTGTAGTCTGAGGTCAACGGGTGCGTCTACGGAACATCACCACGTCTCTCGGCGTCAACGGTTGACGAGTGAAAAACGGTGGTGTTTTTTTCGGGTTCCACTGAGGTCCTGGGGAATCACCGAAAATGAGGGCCGCAGCGTGATGTGATACGTGAACGTTGGTGAACAGATAAAAACCCCATGAATGGACAATCTATGGGAAATCTATGGAAAATCTATGGGAAAATGGTGTACAGATAGAAACCCCATGAAAAGTATAGTTATATCTACCATAAACCCAAGTGAAATTGGAGTTGTCCCCATGAATACTCGTTCGTTATTTGCGTATAATAAACCAGAGTGAAATTGGAGTTATGTTCACCAACTGAACGCGATTTCGATTTCACGGGGGCCCCACATTGATCATTCCATAAATATGGGGTGACTTGCTGAGAAAAATCACTGGTATTTCGGGCCATGAGTGTATCGTCAATGGATTGGTTGATGGGAAAATCTTAACCGGAAACCATGGTTTTTACCATGAAATATAGGGCTTTCCTGTAGATTTTCCCTTAAACCAATCCAATGATATGGCTTTCAATACTGAAATGCTCTACGACTTGGAATGGGGGTAACCCCACATTTAATGAAACTTCCATGTGGCTTCTCGAGTGTTGGTATAGGCCATTGGTGTCAGGAGGACTACTTTGCCAAGGCTTCTAAATAACTGTGCATCCCACAAAATGAGTGGTTTGTAATTTATAATCCATCATCTGATCTAGATGTTTTCCCATTCAAACCTCCATTTACAGATTTTGAAACCTCCATGTATAGACTTTTATAGGGGATCTTCCGCCATGTTCGGTGGCGCCGGAGGCTGTGTTTTAATTTTTTGGTGGTCCTGGATCGCAAATCCAAGAAGAGGGGATGATGCTCCAACACTCCCAAGGCAATGGTAGGCTTATGTTCTGAGAGGCCCCTGAAACTGCAATTTCTGCACATGTTTGGTGGGAAAATCTACATGTTTGCTGGTTCTTGGCTGCATATATTATCTTCTTTTCTTGGTAGAATTCCCATTATTGGGGGCTACTTGGTGGCTCATCCCACTTACTAAGTAGGTTATATCCCTGGTCTGGCAAGTGGGATAAGTAGGGTTAATCCACTTATAACTAGGTTTATAACCTACTCACTAAGGTGGGATGAGCCACCAAGTAGATCCTCATGTTTGAAGGTATTGCACAGTTAATTCGTAATGTCTCCTCGTGCCTTAGCAGCCGAACAAGTCTGTAGATCATGCTTAATGAATTGGTTTAAATCCCAGTTAAATCCCAATGACGCTCCATAATTATTATGCACTATTGGGTATTCACCATTATTGGCTATATTAGAACATATTAAAATGAACACATGAACATATACATAAACATCATATATAATCATATATAATCATATATAATTAATCATATATAATCATTTATAGATATATACATATTATAAAACATTATAAACACCATGGATTCATCCATATCTTCCCCTTTTTTCGTGGTAAACCTCAGCTGAAAAAATCCCAACCAAATCGTCCGCTCAGGTGGCCGTCACCTGGATGTCCTCCATGTGAGGCGATGAACAAGGCGCCAACTGGGCGAAGTGGGCGAAACATCACCAGCTATACCCTCTGGTAAACTAACATAACTATGGAAAATCACCATTTTTAAAAGGGAAAACTCACTATAAATGGCCATTTTCAATAGCTATGTTAAATTACCAGAGGGTAGCTGGGTAAACGTTAACTATAGTTATCCCATGACGGATCCTAACGGTGCTGCTAGATATGGTGTGCCATGGATCCCATCAATATACCCCCATGGATTCTATGGGTATGGGATGTGAACTAACATAGCAATGGAAAATGGCTATAGAAATAGTGGATTTTCCCAGCTATAGAATGGTGGATCTTTCCATTGCTATGTTAGTTCACCAGAGGGTATCCCATGACGGATCCTAACGGTGCTGCTATTTGTTTGGTGTGCCATGGATCCCATCAAGAAATACCCCCTTTATGTTAGCATTTTTCTACTAGCACCATGGATTCTATGGGTATTTTGGATGTTTTTTTGGCCGGAAATTCCAGAAATACTATATAGTTATGTTAGTTTACCAGATATTTTACTGGGTTGAAAAAAACAGTTCGACCCTGAAAACAACCAATTTTTGAGTGGAAACTCTGTAAAAAACCCCGATGAATGGCAGGGTCGAACGGTTGAATTACTGAAGAGTAGTGTTGGTAAAACAAGAACAAACCATCCAAAATTTCACATTTTTTTATAGGTGGTATAGTTATATAGTTATTTGCGTATCATACACCATAGTTGTTGGAGTTATGTTCCCCAACTTTGCGATTTCGTTGACGGGGGCCATAAACCATAGTTAATTCAGCCACGTATATCTCCACTGAACGCTATCTGGGAGGCCCCATCCTGTAGGGACAAATCCTGAATTATCTGTTGCAATTTCAATAGGAATATCTACGTTCACCAGCTAAGAATTTGTATTTTTGTTGCAGGGGCCCTCTGGCTGATTGGCAATGCAGATGCTGGTTGATGAAATGGTCTATTCTTTTGAAAAAAATGTGGGCATCTTGGGAACATGGTGATTTAAGCAGCAAAGACATGAACAAACACAATTAACATGTTGGGAAAATGGTGATTTAACAACCAAAGGTAGGGAGTTATTTTGAGTTGTACGTGATTTATGATATTTGAGTTGGTGAACATAACTGCAATACCTAGGGTTTTATGGTGATTACAACTATAGTATTTGTGGGAATTATAAACCAACAAACATCACTGGGGGGGCCACCTTGTAATGATGGTATAGTTGATTAATTTGATACAATGGCACATAGTGGGATTAATATCTATGGTGGCTTCCTGTTTAGCGGTATATCTTATGGTTATGGGTCAAGATTAGACACCCCTAACATGTCCTAAAATTAGATGGTTAAATGTTAACAACTAAACATGAACAGAATCTGCGGTCGCCCTCGGTCCTTCGATGTCTTTGGGGAATACTTAGAATACAAACTGTGGCTACTAACTATAGAAAAAGACTGTGGCTATTGTCATTTGGTTCAATTTTAGTTCGCTGAATTTCCCATTGAAAACCTCCATTTGGTTCGCAGATTGGCCATGTTTGATTAGTGTATCTATATCTTCAATATTTTTGATTAGTAAATATTCAACCCCAGATTAGATATATATATATATATATCTTCAATATTTTTCAACCTTTCAACCCCAGATTAGTAAACCCTGCTTGGTGCATTAGGGCCAAACCTCTTCATTCATGCAGCAGACAATGCTCGGTTGACCAAGAATCGAGTTGACATAGCCTTCATGCACGATACCACAATGTGGGGCCCCCTAGGTAGCTAAGTTTGTTTATAACTCCAATAACTTGGGTTTATGGTAGATATACCTATAGTTACTTAATAGTGGTTATAAACCAACGTTCACATCACTGGGGGGCACCACCTGGCAGTGAGCAAAGAGATGGCAGGCTGTATATTCAAGTTGAAACAACTCGAATCTCGCAAGGGGATCATTCCCCACATGCGAAAGGTGATCCTTTTTTCGGGCTGTATTATACTGATATATTACAAGGTGGCCCCCACGAAGTTATAAGTTGGTTTATAACCTACATATAAAAAAAGTACAGCTTTCACTGTAGTTCGATATATCTACCATAAAACCTTTCCGCGAAATTGGAGTTATGTTCACCAACTTCGCAAACTAAATCAGTCTAAATCCCATTAAATCATCCTTATACCCCCTTGAATCCCATTGAATCACCTTTTTTTCCTCACGACCTCAGCATTTAGCAAAGGAAGAGTTGGGCAGCTGCAATGTGGATCCGTGCCCTGAGAGTGAGTCAGGGCCTCGAAGTGATGACCTGATCTGGTGAATGTTGATGGACATCAATCTGGGTAATCAACACATATTTATAACCATATAGATAGATATAGATATTTATAACTATTTAGATATAGATATAGATATTTATAACCATTTATAACCATAGTCCATTAGTATAGATATTTATAACCACCAATAATCACTTAGTTGATAGGTTATGAAATGGGGATTATACTATTTGGTTTAATGGGGATTATAATATATTATTATAAACCACAATAGGGATAACTATTAACCAATTAATCTGGGTAAATTATAACCATTACTAACCAATAATCTGGGTAAATTTCATCACGACCTTACTGTTGTCCCGAACCCTGGAACCATGGTTAAGGGAAATCATCCCCTTTTATGGCCGAACTATTCATCGGGCAGGGCCCCAGGGCATGGGCCGGGAAAAGTAAGATGAGTGGCCAAACTATTCAGGTTAGTGAAATGAGGTAATTTACCCAGATCAATGGAATTAGGATCAATTAATCGATAATGATCCAGTAGGTGAAATTCATCAATGTTGTTGATCAATGAAATGGTAAGCTATTATGATTGAGGTGAATAATGGGATGATAATGGGATAGTGGGACAATAGTGGCATAGTTATGGCTGGTTGCTGGTTTGGAACATTTTTTATTTTTCCATATATTGGAATTTCATAATCCCAACTGACTTTCATTTTTTTTTCTGATGGGTTGAAACCACCAACCAGATGGTTAATCATGGTTTATGAACATCACACTATATCTGGGTAAATTTAATCGCGACCGAAGCCTGTTCTCCCTCGGTGGAATCCTGGTGAGTAAAGGAAACGATCCCAAGGAAAAGCCTTATTTCAGGTCAGTGAATAACTATAATCTATCCAGTTTATTGAGGGCTTATTGATTATCTATTCCATAATTATCAGATATTAAGCGGGATGATCTTTCCAGATGGGAAGATGGGAAGCCTTATTTCAGGTCAGTGAATAACTATAATTTACCCAGATTCCGTCATGTTGGGGAAACAATCACTTTCAAGTCCTATCAATTCAAATCATATTATTATGTTGGGAAAGAAATTACATTGAAAGTGAACGCCTAAGAATCTTCTAGAAAAACCACATCATGTTGGGAAAGTGTTGGATTATTCACTCATGACACAGTGGAATACAAGGACTCCCACACCAAAGATTCATAAGGCCTTACCACCCCGAAATCATCCTCGAAGTGATTGGATGGCTCCATAACTGGGACATGTTGGGTTATACATCGAAGCCGCGGTGAACGAGTTTTATCCTTTGGTAAATATTGTAAAATCACCGGTTTTAATCGGGAAATCAATTATAAAATGGGCCTGGTTAATAGCTATGTTAGTTTACCAGAGGGTATGTTTTTTTCATGTGAGCAATTTTTCGAGGGTCATTCATCCCAAATTTTCTGAGTTTTTCCTGCCACCTATGTTAGCTTGGTATATCGGGAGAAAGCCACCTATGTTAGGATCCCCCATGAATTCATACCCCTGGTTGGTGGTTTGGAGCATTTTTTATTTTTCCATATATTGGGAATAATCATCCCAACTGACTTTCATATTGTTCAGATGGGTTGAACCACCAACCAGTACCCCTTGAGTAGGGATTCCTGTGCCCAATATGCTTGGAATCGGCCTACGTGTATGAATGCGTAGTCGTCCTCGATGTAATCCTTCCATGATATTGATCACCCCCCCGTTATAAGCTGCTTTATAGACCCCATTAACTACATATTATCTCCCCAGTAATCCTTAGTTAACCAAGTTATAAACCAAATTAGTTATCTCTATCTATCTATCTATCTAACCTAACCTAACCTAACCTAATCTAATCTAATCTAATCTAATCTAATCTAATCTAATCCTATCTATCTATCTATCTATCTATATATATATATCACATCTAAATCGCAAATCTTGGTGGTTAAATTACAATTCCCCTCATTTTTCATGGCTAAATCCACCTCTTCCTGAGTTCATTCGCCTGGCTCTGAGGTTATGTGTGGACGGAGCATGGGCGTCCTGGAATGACTGGGAGGCTTGCCTTGCCGGGCACAACGGGATTTTTTTGGGCAAGATGGCAAGCTGGAGAACCCCCAAAGTCATGGATGGGATAATAGTGATTAATAATGGTCAATGGTGATCAATGGTTACCCTCTGGTAAATTAACAGTTTGACCCTGAAAATCACCAATTTTTAGTGGTTTCACTAATCTTCCAACCCCTATCTACCAGGGTCTATGTTAATTTACTGGAGGTTAAATGGTGGTTAATATGGAGTTTTCAATTTCAGAGGGGGATCCCCCAAACTCGCTGGATAGAAAAAAACATGGAACATCCTCATCTAAAATGGATGATGGGGTACCCCCATTTAGGAAACCCCCATTTACACAGGCGCAAGGTTTGCATTAGTGTGGCGCAAGGTTTACTTTTACATAGCCATTAAAGTGAAACATTGTCAGGCCCGATGTTTTCTTTGCCTCTGGCTGTCCAACTGTCGTTCCCGGTGCTTGGGCAACTCCACAGAGTAGCTCCAGCAGCTCCAGCTAAAAGAGTCGCTAGCTAGCTAGCTACGTTTGCTAACGATTTTGACCCCAAATTGATCATGTACTAATATATTGTATGCATGTATATATGATTATATATGTATGTATTATATACATTGTAGATTGTGCGTGTACATATATATATAGATATATACACACACACACTTGGGGTTGTTCACCATTTACCTCGACCCCCATGAAGGACAGATCTTCCCGATCGTCCCAGGCGTGCTCCACCTCTTGCGAGGGTGGCATGCGATGGCGCGTGCGGCACGTGTTGAGACCGGCCACGTCCTGTGGCCAAGAGCCCAGCGGAGACTCTCGAGAAGAAGGCGCAACAGCGCCGGGGAGTGGGCATCTGCAAACATATGAATGGGGGATAGGGAATGTGGTGGGAATATATTGGGATATCGATCTATGTATAAAATATTATATATATATATTTATATTGATGAATGGGATATTGGAGGCATATTGAAATGACCCAGTTACTCTCTGGTAATCAAAAAATGGGCTAGCTGGAAAATCCCTTAGTTATAGATGATTTTCCAGCTAAAACCTTGATTAATAGGGGACTCCTATTGCCACGTTTGCCTACCGGATGGTACATTCTCACAGTACACCCAGTGATTTTTCATGAAGCTGACCCGCATCTGACATGAAACCATGACACATTTTGGACCAGCAGTTCAGCTCTGTGGTTGGTGTGTACATGATGATGCACATGTTTCTTGATATCCAATCCAGACGGGATGATTAAGTAGGTCAACCGACTGGTTAGATGCTTTAGTACTTTAACTTTTTGCTATCAATGGTAAAACTATATAGTAATTGCATTTACCAGCTAAAAAGACATGACCGGTATCTGGTATTTGAAATTCACCATGTAAACTATTTCTTGCATTTTGTTGGGGAAGGGAGACACGTAGCTCAACTGCCAGTCAGGAAGGATCTTTTGAAACCTAATATTAAACACCCCCTAGAAACAAGTTTAATAGAGGATTTGCACATATTTGGGACCATCTAAAGGGTATGTTTAATATTGGGGGGATGGGATTATGGTTTCATATCGTGGCCCCCGTGCACTTTTGTGGAATCATCATGCCCAGATTCATCGGGCTCAAGATAAAATATGTGTTTTTTTTCCCTTGGGGTGTGTCAAACAAAATATGCAATTGGTACAATGTGGGGCCCCCTAGATAGCTAAGTTGATTTATAACTCCAATAACTATAGTTTCTTATACTTATAGCTTATAACTTATAACTTATAGTATTCATGGGGTTTTATAAACCAACGTTCACAACATTTTAATTATATGTGGTTTCACCTACCATCAGCCGTAGTTCACCTACTAACCAACTTGACCATCTAGGGCCCCCCTGGCCTAAAACAATTCTTCCGGTGATTAGTGGAATGACATCCTCCCACATGTTGAATCATCCAACTTGACAATTGATACAAAAGTACTTGGATCATCAATTTGCCCATTTAAAAAAAACACGTGTACTGTATCTACATGTATCTATCATTATGATTCATTATTTATTTATTACTTGTTTGGGACCTTAACTCATTTTGATTGGTCAACGTCAACGGGTCAAAGTATGATGATGAAAAGCGGCCATCCCGGGTTTTTCCCCGTGACATCTGTGCCTTTCCCGCCTTTCCTGCTCAGAAGAGTGCAACAAGGGCGTGCCCTGCAAAGCAAGCCAGGACTGTCGCTTAGGGATTTGCTTTGCAGGGAACCTCATTGATATATATATATAATATAATATATATATATCTAGTTTATCGTGGAAAATCCTACTAAATTGGATGATTTAGGGATACCCCCATTTCAGGAAAACTCCATATGGCGGCCGGTAGACAGGTGGATTCCGGTAGACAGAAAGGGCAGGCGGAATGATATGGGAAGTGATGAGGTCAATACTGTAGACCGTGCTGCGCTTGAACTGGAGAACCGGGCTCATAGCGGAAGTGAGGGACTCTGGAAAGCAAAGAAGTGGTCAAGATGCCTAGGTCAATCGACTGGATGGGTAGTGACTACTGTAATCCTTTAGTCTTTTGGTATCAATGGGATTATCTACGTTCACCAGCTAAGAATTTGTCATTTTGTGAAGGGTATCTAATATTGGCCATGATGCTGGCATGCCACCTCTGATACCCTTTGGTAATTTAACATAGCTATTGAACATGGACCATTTATAGTAATAGTTGATTAACCTATTAAAGATGGTGATTTTCCATAGCTATGTTAGTTTACCAGAAGGTATATTGAGTGTGGCACAACTTCTGGAGATGATCTCTCAATGAAGCCACAAGTCTTCCTGCAGGATAGTGCCGGCTAGTTATAAGTTGCTTTATAATCCCCATAAACTATATATAGTTATATCATGTTATATCTACCATAAACATCCATAAACCATAGTTAAGCCACTTAAAATGTCAACTTAGCTATCTTGAGGGCTCCATCATGCTGTTTTGATCGGACATATTTATTGCTTTTTCAAGCATGCTAAAGGGAGGATTGGTTGAGATGACGAGCATTTTTTTTGGGTTCATTCACCCTTTGAAGATGTATGTTTTTCCCCACAGCCACGTTGACACGTTGAATCAGCACAAACCTTACTGTATATCAAATTGAGCAGTGTTCAAAACCCTTGTTGGTGGTTGATGATTAGTTCGAAGGTTATACTACCCTTGATACTACTTGGGGATTCTAATAATCCGATAGGGAAATCCCTAGTACCCTTTGGTAAACTTTCACATAACTATGGAAAGATCCACCAATTTTTCATGGGAAAACTCACTATTTCGACTGGGCCATTTTCTATGTCGCAAACTGTGTCTGTTTACCAGAGGGTAACCAACCAGTATACTGTGGTTGCGAAATCTTGCACCAGTTGGGATTCCTATTGGTAACTATGAAGCCCTGTAAATCATGGGATAATCATGGGGATAAATTTATAAATCAAGCGACTGGTTTTTAGGATTTCTTCATTCATTTCTTCCATCCATATGAATCGGAGAAGGGATTATTTTGCCAGTGAGATTCCAATTGTCGTTTATATTGCTATCGCTGGGGATTTGACCATGAGGACTGTATTTTAAACTATCTGGTGGTTAGGAGGAAGCAGTTTGAAGCTATGGCTATCCATATTCCCTATTAAATGATTTAAATGGGGAGCCAGTTGGAGCTATGAATATGTACAATGTGGGGCCCCCTAGATAGCTAAGTTGATTTATGACTCCAATAACTATGGTTTATTATACGCAAAGAACTATTGTATTCATGGGGTTTATAGACCATTTTCCCATATGTCCAATAGATTTTCCATAGATTTCCCATTCATGGGGTGAATCTAAACCAATGTTATCCAACGTTCACATCACGTACACGCGGGCACCACATTGTAGAGTGGTTCAACCACATGATGCCGTAAGGCGTAAATCGTGCTTTTCGGATGCGATTGGAAGCCGTAAATCGTGATGGGATTGGTTCGTGATGAAACTGCATCCAGTAGCCTCTGGTAAGCTAAGATAGCTATTGAACATCACAGTATGGGTATATCATGGTACAATATGGTATATCTATATCTATCTATAAGTGACAATTTTCCATAGCCATGTTACTTTACCAGAGGGTAATCTGCCATTCATCCGCCATTCATTCCCCATTCCCGATGAATTCCCCAGCAATCTGAGAAAATTATGATGACCTCACTGTGCCCTCACTGGAATGATGGGAATTGGATGAGACTTGGATTCTGGGAATTATCCCCAGCCCAACATTATACCCATATCATCCCATATCTATCTATCCATCCATCTACCTATCTATACATAATTGGAAGATCATCCCACTTAGTATCTATACTTCGTATCCATAGTTATAACATGTTTATATACTCTATTTATGGGAGAAGCCAGAAATTCATCAATGATAGTTCTTTTGTTAATCATTAACCACTATTAACCATAGATTATTAACCATCATTATCCATGATTAAACCATAGTAACAATTCCTAACCATCATTAACCATGTATCCCTAATTTTTTGGTTATTAACCACTATTAACCACTATTAACCACTATTAACCACTATTAACCACTATTAACCACTATTAACCACTATTAACCACTATTAACCACTATTAACCACTATTATATAATCGTAGATTTCACCACTACTAACCATAGATTTATCCGTGATGAATTTTCTGCCCTGCAAGGACTGCGAACTCAGCGCCTGGAGCGTCTGGTCCGATTGCAGTGCTTCCTGTCATGGTGCGCTCGGGAAAAAAATGGGGCATTTCAGTGGCAGATGGCAATTTGGCAAGAACTAAGCTTGAAATATTCATGAAAATCCAAATTCTTTTGTTAAATCATGTTGAATACACATGAAATCCGAAATCCAATTATGAATCACTAGTATAAATGGATCTTCACCAGTATTAATCAATTCAAAATCTATAGGGTGGGCCCCCCCAGTTACTGTGTAGGTTGGTGGTCGCACCCTAACTGGAGATATGTCTACTCGAAATCCCACACTGAATTCAAGCAACTTAGCTGCACCTTTCAGTGATGCCAATTTGGACAAAATCTATGGATCAAAAGAGTGGCGAAACAGGAAAGTCATTGGTAAATGTTGACATTCAGCAGCTAACTGGTAACTGTATTGAACGCTGACTCCATTGTTTCTGTAGGTGTTTTTTTCACAAAAACCTGCGGGATGTAAACCTGTAGGCATTGTATGTACCTCAGAAAACATCCAGAAATTGTTGGTTAAAAAAATAATTACGGCCTGCCGGGTAAAAATGCTGGTGAATAAAGTACTGGTCTCCCTGGAATGACAGTTGGGCACAGTTGGTAAACTTCACATTTGCCCTGGAGAATCCCACGAAGTCACTAAGTTGCAGCCACAGCCCCTTGAAATACCACCGGTATGGTACTGGGGCATCATTTTTCAGAAAACTAGGACTCTGATTCGCCCTACCCTCTGGTAAACTAACAGTTTGCGAACTGGAAAATCACCATCTTTAATAGGTAAATCAACTATAAATGTGCCATTTTCAATAGCTATGTTAGTCATTACCAGAGGGTCAATCACTGAACATGAGACCAGGTATCAAGAAGCGAGAACGTTCTGTGTTGCAGCATGGATATGGTGTCCGGGCGCTCAGTGTGGATGTCTATCCCAGTATGGCTAAGTGGCTAAGTATATATATGGGGGTTTCCATAAATGTTGTTACCCCGATAGCTGGATGGTTTATAATGGAACATCCTATTAAAATATGGATGATTTAGGGGTACCCCCTTTTTAGGAAACCTCCATATGGCTTTGTCTGATGAAAATCTTGTTGATTTGTACCCCAATTCCAACTGATGTTCAGATCCCAATGAGCATTGCCATCAAATGTGGGTGCTATAAGCTATAGCCCCCTCATGATTTCTTGGATGTACCACCAAGTAGTTGTTTGGTGGTTGCAGAAGTTCATTCAACTTCTGAGGTGGGCAAGTACTGCGAAGGCATCCTGGAAGAAGCGTTTCCCTGTGCGTTGGTGGGCCCAGTGGGCTCAAAAATCTGCAGGGGGGCAAAAACGATAGATCAGTTGGTTACACTAGGCGAATCTGTTGTATGACACTGTATGTATACATATATATATATATATATGTGTGTATGTATAATTATATGTATATACATATGTATATATATATGATATATATATATACATATTCCATTAGATCAATCTGAAATGGTTTGATAGCTATTTTCGACTACTTGGCAAGGCGCCGTGTCTTTTCTTCAATCGCGCCGAAGCGCCAAGCGCCGCTGAGGCTGGGAATCTCCAGAAGTTTGGAAGATTGGTCCAGCCCGGAGCCCTAAACTAAACGGGCCGGGTCGGTGGATGGTCCGCCGGAGTGAAGAAATCCCTGTGTTTTTGGAGAAGCCTAAGGCCTAAGGCCCAATAGAAATGGATGATTTGTTGAAGTTGTTGGATCTAATCTGATATTTTGGGATATATTGGATTATATTATTATATTGGTATACTGGGGCCTGTTTTTTGGACAAGCTAACTTTCATATTGATCATATTCTTGGTCGCATATCCCAGTATACCAATACATGATTTTCCCCCCATAGTTTTCCATGGAGGTTTCCTACGTCATGGAGGTACGCCCAGTCATCCAAGTCGTGGCGACTTGGGGATCCTCCATGACTTCAGAAAGCACTATATTTACCCTCTGGTTATGTCAAAATAGCTATTGAAAATGGCCATAGAAATAGTGGATTTTCCCAGCTATAAAATGGTGAATCTTTCCAGTTCGCTATGTAAACGTTTACCAGAGGGTATTATATTTCTAGCTTTGTTTGGGGTGTGATTTTTTTCCCAATGGAACATCAACCTTTGGGGACTGCAGGCTTTTTTATTTTTATTTTTTTTTGATATTCTTGTGAGACCCCTTCAGCAAGTCTAAGTATTGACTGTGGTAAAGCCAAGAAATACATCATCCCCACTATGACCATTTTTATGGCAGGTTTTTCCCAAATTGCACTTGTTTTTTCTTGGCTTTGCCACAGTGTTGTATATTTTAACATATTTTAACTATTGTTTCCAGATGGCAACGCATCTTAAATGAACATGGCAAGGTTCAAAGATTTCAACTTACGATGCGGGGCTCCATTTCAGGGGGGATAGCGAATAGATATGAACCCCGTTTTCACAGAAATTTAGAGAGACGAGTGTCACAACTGCAGATTTCCGATCGAATGGTCCCAATGATCTCGAGGCACGCACTTGTACCTGAACCTGGGGACCGTCTATGCCAACAATCTGGGCGGCCAGGGGCCGGACTTTCAGGCTCCAGAAGAACTTGGGTGCTCAAAGGGAGGCAACTTGCGAGGCATTTTCAATGGTGGAAGGATTTACCCTCTGGTAAATAAACATAGACACTGAAAATCACCCATTTTTAATGGAAACTAGTCTTCCAACCCCTATCTGCCAGGGTCTATGTTAATTTACCAGAGGGTATGTTGTCGTACTGAAATGGGTTTGCCTGAACATCCCCAACCGACTGGATAGGTAGTTTAATCCGGTTGTTTTTTTTTGCTATAAATGGACAATAAACATAAACATTTTTTTTTGTGGACTGCCAAAGATTGACCATTGGGTTTACCGAAATGGTTTGTATAAGCATAAGTTTATTCACAAATTTTATATATCTAATATTATCCAATAACAATCCATGTCTTCATCATCCAGCAATATCAGCAATCATTCAGTATACAAACGGATTGTCTTCAATTGGGTAGCCCATTTGTTTCAGACTTGTCCTTTTTGTAGACTTAGACCATGATATCGCTGGACTTGTGACGATGGTCATTTTGGGAAAGACCCAGTAGTATCAAGACTTTGTGTAGTCAGTGAAATTTTGCATGGTCATAATCGGAGCTAGATCAGACATGGAGAACCTATAAGGAATATGGACGTTTCCTAAAATGGGGAAACCCCTAAATCAATTGTAAACCATCCATTTTGGGGTACCAACATTTCAGGAAACCACCATATGTCTGATATTTTTTTGGGATCCCTTAAGCAAGCCGAAGCGATGTATCGGACACTTCAAATCAAAGCCCTCGTCGTTTAGTACTAGCCCTATTCATTGTGTGGGCCATTTCGGGGATTATATGATATTAGGTGGCTGGCATTACTATGTCAAAGTCAAGTATACTCTGGTTATTTAGCGCATCTATAGAAAATGATCAGTTCTATTTTGCAATTCATCGTCATCGAACTGAATGAGCCATGTTCCGGCATGTTCCATAGCTATGTTAGATAACCAGAGGGTATTTGTTGTTTCATGTTGGTTCTACGCCCATCCTAGTTGCTTCCATGCAGATATGTTTCGGGCTTCAGAATTGGGTCAATGCCATAGCCGCTTCATATCCCTCAATGCTCAATAGCACCAATAAGCTGGTTGGTGCTTTGGAACGTTTTTCATTTTTCCATATATTGGGAATTTCATCAGCCCAATTGACGAACTCCATCATTTTTCGGAGGAGTTGAAACCAGCAACCAGGCTTCAAAAAGTGATCATTAAACTATACCATTAGGTGCCCAGGATTTCCCAATGATTTGTCCATGGTTTTCCCATCATTTTCCCAGAATTTTCCAGGGATTGTCGAAGTATAGAGCCAAAGCAGGATTTCCGAAGGTCTTTGATCTAGAAACCAGTGAATGGTGTTGAATCCGTTTTTTTTTTTTAATGTTGAAAACCCTGGTTGATTGATGGTTACCCTCTGGTAATGACTAACAGTATTGAAAATGACCATTCATAGTGGATTTACCCATTGAAAATGGTGATTTTTCATAGTTATGTTAGTTTACCAGAGGGTATATATGAGTTCTACTGTCCTATATATGGGGGGTGTTCCTAAGTCATGGGGGATCCAAAAGAAGTCGTCACCTGGGTTACCTGGGTTGTTTCAATACTAAGTCATAGTCTAATGACTTGGATGATTTTTTTTGGTACCCCCATGACTTAGGAAACCTCCATCATTGGGATTCTTGCAATCCATTGTGGGAAATTCAGGCTGAGCAGTCCTTGCGCTTCAAGAATGCGGCAGCGGAGCGGTTGTTCACTGGGAACATCGAATCAGAACCATTCAACATGCCCTTATTGATAGCTAATAATGGAATATATCAAACATATGGGGATACAATTGTTAAATGATGGTTGAGTGGTTATTATTGGGGGTTTATATTACCTGGTTTGCTGGAGATTGTTAGATTCCATAAAAGGGACAATAGCTATTGATCAACCAGTATTTCACGGGTTGGGTTCATTTCTCAGCAAGTAAAATTCAGAACAAGACCAGCTGTCGTTCAAGCAATGGATAATATTTACATATATACATAGACATATATATGTTATAATGGATAATATTTACATATATACATAGACATAGACATATACATATATATATATATACATATGTTATTTTTTGAACTCCCAGAAGTAGATGGTTTGGCACTGATATGACGATGTGGGTCCACTTGTAGCCTAGTCAAGGTCAAGATGACCTGGATCGATTTCGATGTTTGATACTCTGGTGCTCCCCAGTGATGTGAATGTTGGTTTAGAAACACCATTAATGGGAAATCTATGGAAAATCTATGGGAAATATGGGAAAATTGTTTATAAACCCTATGAATACTGTAGTTATATTAGTTATATCTACAACAAACCATAGTTAACTTATATCTCAACTGAACGCTATCTTGAGGGCCCCTCCCTGTATGTTTGTTGATGTTCTCCTTGATATATCATACATCCACTACATCCACCAGAAACCCAATCTTTGGCCAATTGAAATAGACCGACTTACCTATCTACAGGGACCCTCATCCCCACAGCTATGGGAAAATTATGGAAAGTGGTGAACGCCTCTCATGTGGCCAGGAAACGGCATGTTGCAACTTGTTTCGCTACAAGACTTATAAAGTCATTATGACCTCCCAATTCTATCCAATTCTTGGCCCTATACAAAACTTAGCCCCTAAGAACTTCCCATATGTTTTCCTCTTTTCAGAATTTCATCCCTTTCCCATTTTTTCCAAAGAATTTGCAATGTTTTTTCCCTTCTTATATGTTTGTTTTCCATGATTTTCCAAGATTTTCCCATGTTTTCCCATGGTTTTAACATGTCTTCGCCCCGTTTCCAACAGCTTCGGAATGTCGGTGGAAAACACCGTGAGGACAACGCCCAGTCGGTGGATCTGCGGATCACCGTGGCCGAGGAGAGCGACTACCGGCCCGAGAAGGCCGCAGCTGGGGAAACCATGATACATACATATTTAATATATTTTAATATGGGGATATAGGGACCTTCATGGTTAATATATTGTATTAAATATGTATAGGGACCTTCATTAAATATCCCTATATTACTATATGGGAATGGTGAATGGTTAATACTATATGGGGATATATATATGGGGAAACCATTAATGGTTAATACTGGTTAATGGTGAATTCTTACTAACTGGTTGGTGGTACAGTATTCTAACATATTCTAACTATGGAAAGATCCACCCATTTTTAATGGGTAAATCGACTATTTCTATTGTCATTTTCAATGGCTATGTGGTGGTTAACTATAACATACTATAACTATAGCTGGTATACATATATACATACATATACCAAAATTCAACACCAAACTTTCCTGGTGACCTCCAAATCTGATAAATTCAACTTTCTTATAGTAAAATAAATGCTGGTTGGTGGTTTCAAGCAATGTTGATAAAACAATGCCATAAACTACCCATTTGGGAATGGTAATCATACCACCTATTATATGTATCATACCACCTATTATATGTATCATAATATATATATATATAAATATAATGTATATATATATACATATGTGTGTATCCCTAAGAATCCATGTTGGTAATATAAACTCTCGAACCAATGTTGGCCTGAGAGCACTACATCTATATATGTTGGTAAAACAATAATAAACCACCTATTTGGGAATGGTTTATACCACCTATTTATGGTGATGACTGAGGGGTGATTTAACCATTATATATATATACACATATGGTTGATTGTTGGTGGGGGGTCTATATATGTATCTTATCTATAGATATATATATGTTGGTAAAACAATGCCATAAACCGCCTATCTGGGAAAGGTTTATACAACCTATTTATGGTGATGACTGAGGGATGGTTTAATCATTATATATATATATATATATGTATGTTTAATGTATATATATATATGGTTGATTGTTGGTGGGGGTTTTATAATGATTATGAGGGATACAACTATAGCAATGTTGGTAAAACAATGTCATTAACTACCCATTTGGGAATGGTAAACATAGCACACAAAAATGGTGATGACTGGGGGATGGTTTATTATTGTTTTAACCACATTATATGTCTCATATATATCATCCTGGTTCTTCAAAGTGACCCCTTTAAGCATCAATTCGAGGTCACTTAACCCCAAAAAGGGTCACTTAATCAACTGAAAAGGGTCACTTTGAAGAACCTGGATGATATATCATGTATAATATATATATATATACAATATATATATATATGTACATATATAGATATATATTGTATATTTATACAATATCTATATATGTGATAAACATTATAGATATGATAGATGTGAAAAACATCATTATATATATATGATTGATTGTTGGTGGGGGGTTCTAATGGGTACGAGGTGAGGCCCCCGTTTTCGATAGCGACTGTCAGTTGATGCTACTGGTTCACACGGGGTTAGTTTGGGTTTATGCGGGATGTACAGTAACTATATAGTTGTTAGGTTTATAAACCAACAATGACTTATATACATACCATGCCATGCCATACCATACCATACCATGCCATACCATGCCATACCATACGATACCATACCACACATACCATACATTACATTACATACATACCATACATAACACAACAAAACATAACAAAACATAACATGGCATAACCATACATTACATTACATTGCATTACATGAAATGACATGACATTACATACATATATACATTATATGTTGGCACTGTGGCCCCGTATTACCCATGGTTTTTCATAGGTACTATCTATGACGGTATATTGGGGACTTCTTTCGATATGTATCTCAGGGCCGCCCCTGTTTTACCAACTTTAGAGAAGGACGATTCCTCTTACAGTATTTGAGGATGCTTGCCAGAGGTGCTAGGTTTTTTTGACCCACACCAATAACTGGTTGGTGGTTTCAAACATTTTTTTCCATAATATATGGGATAATCCTTCCCATTGACTTAATAATTTTCGAAATGGCTATTGCACCACCAACCAGCCAATAAGATATCTCAGGGTTTTTCCGCTGTGGCGCAACGCCAGGGAGCAGAGAACAATGGATTGGCCGGACAGTTTGGAAACATCTTCGTGGGGTGTGGAGCTCATTGCAGGGGCGGTTTTTTTTTAACCTACAAGGCTGAGAGATTGTCTGAGATTGTTTCAGATTGCCAAGGGCTCCTACTTGGTGGCCCATGCCACTTAGTCAGTAGGTTATAACGCTACTGGATTAACCCTACTCATCTCACTTATAAGCAGGGTTATAACCCACTTTGTATGTGGGATGAGGTACCAAGTAGTTCTCTGTCTTTTTGCATGTTTTTTTTTTGCCAACGTTTTATCCAGTCAGTTGCTGTACATAAGTTTCTAAGTGAGTTGCTGTATATATCAAGCTTGGTGAATTTGTTGCATTTAATGTTTCTTTCGTACTGTATCTCCAAAGCCGCAGTTCTTTTCCGGTAACCAGATGTGTCATGGTCAAAACTTGGGTAAATTGCCCATGTTGGGGGGTGGAGTTCATGAGAATTCATATACTCATTGTTTGGATTCCAATGAAATCGGTTGACCATCCCGCTTTTTTTTTTTACCTTCGGGGAATCAATGGGAATCAAAAGGAGCAACGGAACATCCCCGACATTGGCATGTGTATCTAGGAAAATCATCGAATGTTCCAGGTTTGATGACACCGGAGGCTATTCATAATCATATAATCATATAGTTATATATAATCATTGACTGGTAAATAAAGAATGATATACAATGGATATAACACATACGATTCAGATCTCGGTCAACAAGATAGAACACCAGACGGTCAAAGATGGCCGGCTGGAAAATCCACCCATGACTTGGGCATGGTTTTTACATAGCACCTTTTTTACAATGGTACTGGGGGATGGTGTGTTATTGTTTCAACCACATTATAGATAATTGTCCTGACATATATATATGTATATATATGTATATACATATATATATATATATACATATATGTATATATATATAAGTATATATATACATATATGTATTTATATAAGTATATATATATGCTGTCAGCCCGCTCAGCCCAATGTCCGGCTGGCAGAGCTGAATTTGACGTTATGTTAAATTACCAAGCCGGGTACGCTTCAACAAAATTTCCATTGAAGTTCGGGGATTTCCCAGGTTGCCATGTTTCCCATGACACTGGAGGGGAAAAAAAAAAATGTGCGCTTCCCATGGATGATTATCTACCAATCATCTACCAATTCCATCCAATTCCATGTGTTGGTTGATGTATCTCAGGTGGAGGATCCCACGAATCCGAAACCGGTTGTTAATCCAGGTTATCAACCTGGTGATCGAGTCGTCCCCTTTCGCTTATCCCCTAACTCGAGATATTTCTTTCTCGGCCCATTGAAATCATAGCCATATGCTCCATGTATAGTATATTTACATATATTTACCTACAAAACTGGGCCATTTGTGGGGTAAAAGTAGGTAAATATTCCATACATGGAGCATATGCAGCATATGGGATATGAAATCACATGAAATCAGCACGACTCACGAGTCATGGCCATGGGATGATCCACCAACTTTTTTCGAATCCCACGAGCCGTGGGGCCCCCGTGAAATCGAAATCGCTAAGTTGGGGTTCACATATGTCCAATGTCACTATGGTTTATGATACGCAAATAACTACAGTATTCATGGGGTGAATCTAAACCAACTTATAAATGATATAAATGGGGGGCACCACATTGCACGGCAGTTGATGACAACTTGACTAAGGCGCGATTCCGAAGTGGTGGTCGACTTTGAATTGGTCGACTCGGAAACCAATGACCCTATGGCTGCCTGGTCGCATCATGTCTTTTTCCAGCGATGATCATCATCACTATTTGTAAATGGGGTTTATTGACGCTTGTATATATGATGATACATAATACATAATATATATATATTATAATATACTATTATTATTACTATTATAATTACTATTATTGTTTATTGTTATGATTATTAGTTATACTATATATAATATAATAGTACACAATAATTATATACATATCAAGCAACATCGGGTGGCATGTGTTTTTTCTTGGTGTCTTTTAGACCACCAAGCTATAGGTCTGGGTTTGCTTGGAACCACGACACTGTGGAGTATTGATAATACTTTTGTAGCCGGAGCAAGGTGGGCCACCCTATATTTTGGATTATAACCACCATCAACTATACCCTCTGGTAATTTAACATAGCTATAGAAAATGGCAATTTACAGTTGATTTACCCATTAAAAACATTGTGATTTTCCAGTTCGTTATGTAAACGTTGACCAGGCCGGGTAGATATTCCCCATAAACCCAGGCGCGACGACTTGCAGGTCAACATAGCGACATAGCGAAATCTAGGGGGTGGAACTCCCGCATGAATCGATTTCTAGCTGCAAGAATCAACTTAGTGATGCAACAAGATACCTGTTACCCTCTGGTAAACAAACAGTTTGCTATTGAAAATGGCCCAGTCGAAATAGAGGATTTTCCCATTAAAAATGGTGATTTCCATGATTTTCCATAGTTATGTAAACGTTGACCAGAGTGTTTCCTGGGTCGGTTGGGTCTCTCGTATTTTTGTTTGTCTGAAACATGGTCGAGACTTTATACCTAATGTGAGGCCCCCCAGTTATAAGTTGGTTTAGATTCGCCCCAGTAACTATAGTTATTTGCGTACCATAAACCATAGTGACATTGGAGTTATAAACCAACTTGGATATCTTGGGGGCCTCACATTGTATGGTATCTTGGTATACACCCGATTTTCAGACACACCCAAATAGAATGTTGTTGGAGATATGTTCGCATTGTATTTCCACTCACTATACCCCAACTATTTCCCCATGATATACCCTCTGGTAAATAAACATAGACCCTGAAAATAGCCAATTGTTGATGGAAACTAGTCTTCCAACCCCTATCTGCCTGGGTCTATGTTAATTTACCAGAGGGTAATCATTATATATATGTATGTGTGTGTGTGTTTGTCTGAAAATGGAGCCCCTAACCCCAAAACTGCAGTTTAGGAACCAACGATGATAAACACACTTTAATTCCTGGGTGTTTACCCTCAAAAATCAGACAGACTTACAACCTACAAGGTGGGACCCCCTAGTTGTAACTTGGTTTATAACCACATTAACTATATATATATAAATAATACATACACCACAACTTAGCTATCATATATCACAAATAAATCTCCACTTTTGATGGTTAAAAGAACAATATTTTCTCAATTGCTGGAGGGAATGTTATCCTATGTTCCTATGGTTTTCACGGGGGGCCCACCTTGCAACTACCTTACTACTACATTTTTTGGATCCCAATTAAATCACTATAATTATCTATAATTGTCATAGTTGGTTGGTTATTATGTAGATATATGTATAGATCACCATTATATTCGAAGATGTAACCACTATTCGCAACTATTAAACACCTTGTACCTTATCAAGACGAGGACTCCCCGAGGCACCAGAAGACTTGGTCCTGAAATTCTTCGACAGTGACAGCGGAGTGGAAGGTGCGGCAGAGATTTTTGTTGACGCTTCGTATCTGCAAGGTGGTGCCGTTCAGTGATGTGAACGTTGGTTTATAACCCCCATCAAGTAGTTCGGTATATTTGCCATAAACCCTCCCGTGGTTCATTGGAGTTATGTGAACCCCAACGGGACGCGTGAACAGCTCACTGCTCCATGACTCCATGCCCCGAACAAAAATCCTATGTCCCCCCGTGTGCTCCATGTCATCTATGGTTCATATTTACGTCAGTTTCTTCAATGTGAGGCCCCCAAACGTGATGTGAACGTTGGTTAACAAAAGCCCCAGTAACTATAGTTATAAGTACCATAAACCAGAGTTATTGGAGTTATAAACCAACTTAGATATCTTGGGGGCCTCACATTGTTGGATAAATGTTGGTAAATATTCCAGAGCATTGGAGCATTGGGGCATAGTTTTTATATTGGATAACTAACATGCGTTCATCATGAATGAATCCCATGATGTTCACGAAGATTTACTGTATCCTGGTTGTTATGATGGACAAATATATGGACAAATAGTAGATGAATGTGTTGGATATAATGGGATATGATGGGTATATTTCATGCGAGTTCGAGCTCTTGCATGCCAACTTAAGAAAATATCGCCAAGACGTTTCTGTCACATGTTCCTCTACCCCCGCCGGGGTATTCCAAGAATTGGATGAGGGAAAAATTGCGGGAACATCGGGAGATCAGCCTTTAAATCGCTATTTCCCCTGGAATTCACCTATGACCTATGATCACGAAGCAAAATCCACCAAGCCTCCCTGGTTGGTGGTTTCAAACATGTTTTATTTTCCATTTCATATATGGGAGATTTTTTTGGATGTCATCCTTGCCATTGACGAACTCATATTTTTCAAGATGGTAGGTACCCTCTGGTAAACTAACGTAACTATGGAAAATCACCATTTTTAATGCTTAAATCCACTATAAATGGCCATTTTCAATAGCTATGTTAAATTACCAGAGGGTATACCACCAAGCAGCTCCCCAGTTCGGTTGAATCCCATGAACAGCTGCCAGGAAGTGACATTTCCACTTACTCAATCACTGCGGTGGACGAGTGCGAGGTGCGGAGAAGTTGGGCTGGGCAGCCACCATGGGCTTATGTAGGAATTAAATACATTTGAATACACCATGGGGGGTATATTAGGGTTATATATATATTATATTATATATATATTATATTATATATATATTATCTTATATTATATTATATTATATTATATATATATTATTATATATATTATTATATATATATATTATATTATATATATATTATATATATTTATCATTATTATTATTGTTATGATTATTATTATGTATATATATATATACATGGAACCCAATTATGAGCCTTGTTTTCAAGGCTCTGGGCCATAAAATTGAGGCTTCACCATCCAAAAGAGGGGGTCGTTTGGGTTCCAAGATCGAAATCTTGACGTAGGCTGCTTGGATTTGCCAAGTCGGAGTGCCCGAGTTTTTTTCACGGGGAGATGTGGGTTTCCTAAGATGCTGATATCACAATAGCTGGTTTATTGATGTTTATTTCATGGAAAATCCCAAAGAAAAATATGGATGATGACTAGGGATACCATTGATGGAACCCCCCCATATCTTTGTGCGAGATTTTTTCAAGACAGGTCAGTGGGTGGGAGTTCCAGTGAATGAAGTGATTATATTTCACCATAGTTGCAAGGGATATATCCTATAGCCATTGGCAGTTATATTGAATGGTTATACCCATTACTACTGTCATAAAAAAAAAAAAAACTGCACCCTCAACTTGGAAGTTGTTTGCCTCGCGTCCTGTTTAGGTGGGATTGCAGGGGCTTATACTACCGAAACTATTGCTGATTACCCTCCAGTAAACTAACATAGATGTGGACAATCCAATTTGTTTGTCGATCAATTCCCAGTGAGACCCATTTAAATTTCTGTCGGAATCCCATTCGAAAAAACCAACCGTTGGATGACAAAAAAACGCCGACCTATCTTTGGGCGCAAACTACTATAAGATCATATAAGATCTCCAAGCTCGCTCGAGCCGTGGGTGTGCCAGGAATTCTACAATACACCAGATAGTGTGTTCAAGTCTCGATCTCAGCTGGACCCAATGGGACCCAATGGAATACTCAATGGTTTTTGCCCAGAAAATGCTCAAAATCAGACATGGTGGGCACTTCGATTTCAGTGATTTCAGTGACTCAGATGGGGTCCACGGAAAAAAAACATCAAAAACCCCAAGAAAGCTGTACAAGATGCCCCCCAGCCTCTATGGGGGTGACTATGGCGGGTTTACCACACTGTATATATACATATATATATGTTGCATGGTGGTAATAGCATAATTATATGTAAGAAAATACAACCATTTAGTGTGTCGTATTCTTTCTTTGTTTCTCTAAAAATTACCACATTCTTCGCCATGTTCGTAGGATTTCTATTTTATCGATCTTTTTTCAGCTTACTATATAAGCTATTCCTAATGCTCCATGGAAGATTAGATCCCATTAATTCGCCATAGTTGCCATAGTGGCTTGGTTTTACATTTAATGAATTGTATATATTATATATACCACTTTATATTCCATTATATTATATCCCAATTTATATATATATAATAATTATGTATGTATGTATGTATATCCCACTATATATATATATATGCCCTTGATATTCCAATATATAGCCACTATTCATTCGCCAATATGGCATGGCCATGGCTGAGGGTGAAGGGAAGCTGTGCCGAGCCTGGCCTTACAGAGTTCGAGTCAGGAGCTGAGAGGTCTGGGAATGACTGGGTTCCCATGTTACAATGGTCATGTTTATGGTTTTTTAATTGGGCAACATCATGGGGGATATGTTTTTTTTTTGCCACCACCCATAGGATCCATGGTGCTGCTATATATGGTAACATGGATCCCATCAATATACCCCAGTCATGTTAGCATATATACCAGCACCATGGATCCGTCATGAGCCATAGATCCAGTTGTTGATCTGGAAAAAAATCACCACCGCGGTGTTAAAATGGCGACGGATCAAACAGGGTTCAGATCGCAGGGTTCAGATCTGGGGATCATGGCCAGGATGGCATCCATGGCCCCATGGTACACGAGAATCTATCAACCTATCAACTAAGTGATTATTGGTGGTATGAATATGGTTGTAAATATCTATACTAATGGACTATGGTTATAAATGGTTATAAATATCTACCCTCTGGTTATGACTAACATAGCCATGGAAAATGGCTCATAGAAATAGATGATTTTCCCAGCGAACGAAACCTCCATTTATGGTTGGGATTTTCCATGGCTATGTTAGTCATAACCAGAGGGTACTGGGGAAGATCCATGGCCCCAGCTATTTTGGTGGTTTTGACTCATAGCTCTTACAAAAAGAATATCAATGGCCATGCAACAGGAACCGATTGATTGGAGGTGCCTACCATACATTCTAGGCCTATTTTTCAGGCCTATTTTTCAGGGGATATACCCCCAATTCATATGGCCTGAAAAATGGTACGTTTACGTAGCTCCATGTATTGGATCCTGGAATTCCCATTGATACCTGGAAACTAAGAGAAATATAGAGACATTATATAAGTGTGTTTATAACCTGGGTTCATGTTACCCAAAGATAAGGTGGTCTTGAACTCATAGCCCTTACAAAAAAAAAGCTGGAACATCTATTGGAAAATTGGGTGGAACATCGCAGAAATGGGACTGGGAAATGAGGGAAACTTCAGCAGATGGAACTCCATGGGAATAGCACGGAAAATGTTGGGACAATTGTTGCTGCAGGAAGGCAATATTTTTGTTTGATGCTTTTTTCATCTTCCAAAGAATTACATACAATTACCTCATTGACTCATCATCCAATTCTGATTCTGCGCCAGCAAGGCCCTAAAAAGCGCCATACATCCTGTTGTTTTTCACTAGTGTTGAATATCCATGGGAAATAAACTGCAATGGGGATATTGTTGAAATTTGTTGAATATATCATCATATATACCCTCTGGTAATTTAACATAGCAATTGAAAATGACCATTTATAATGGATTTTCCCATTAAAAATGGTGATTTTCCATAGCTATGTTAGTTTACCAGAGGGTAATCCAACTTCACATGCTCCTGTTCAAGCCATTTTTTAATAGCCATGGCCGGTGATGTGTAAAAATCCCTTGGATCCGCCCAGGAAACCTTTCATCTCAGATCCCTGGTGCGACACCGGGGGCTATGAAGTCATGGATCTGGGACGTGTCATCAATAGCAACTTGATGGGCAAGGCAGCCTCCGAAGCGGTGCATCTGGGCTGGGTTTGTGGAAAATTGAGGCCATTTTTGGAGGATCATGTGCAGTAACTGATTAGTAGGCATGGTGATCACAATATTTACAAGTGAGGTCAAGTGAGCAATCCAATATCTGGTGGTTTGGAACATGTTTCTTTTTTTCCATTTCATATATGGGATGTCATCCTTCCCATTGACTCATATTTTTCAAGATGGTTCAAACCACCAACCAGTCTTACTTTGTGACATATGGGGGTTTTCATACCCCCAAATGGATGGTTTATAAATGTTTATGATGGAAAATAGCCATCAAAACTGATGATTTAGGGGGGTACCCCTATGATGGATCAACCAGTAATAGAGTTGTTAACATGTATTAACCATTGTTAACCATTATTAGCACTGATTAACCACTATTAACAATGATTAACCATGATTAACCATTATTACCAGAGGGTTCGCCACATATTGATCTATGGGTTGTCAACCAGTTCTTGGGGTTATCTTTCCGGAATCGCTAGGGGCCTTGTCGAATTGGTTGAGAGCTTGACCGGCCAAGGTACTGTAAAAATGCAGCCATTGCAAACAACAAAAGAACAACATATTTTCTATATACCCTCTGGTAAACGTTTACATAACTATGGAAAATCACCATTTTTAATGGGAAAATCCACTATATATGGCCATTTTCAATAGCTATGTTAGTTTACCAGAGGGTAATGTGAATAAAGCAATAATAAACCATCCCCCACGAAAAACACCATTTTTTGCTTGATGCTATGTTTACCATTCCCAAGTCATGGGTGGTTTATGAACTTCTTTTTCCCACATTAATTCATTCATGAGCCAAGTCTCGCTTGGCGAGACCAGATGTGATGTGCGGCAGGGCCCAGATCATCAAGGAAAGCCGGAGTTGCGTTTTGAAAACGCAGAAGCCTCAGTGCGCGGCCGCAATCTTTGACTATAGATTTTGCAGGAAAAAACATGTTTCAAAACGACGTTTGAAGATGTTGGGTTCATTTGGGTTCCCATTTCTGTGTGACATGTTTGCCCAGATTTGTCAGAGAAATGTGATAAATCATGTTACAAATCTTCAATGACAGTCATTTAATGATCAATTGATCATTGTCATTTGTCTTCAATGATCATAGTCAATTTTTGTCTATGATAAATGTGATCCTTTCGTGATCTTCAATGACAGTCATGGGATATAGTCATAGTCCAACTGTTCTGGTTTCGGTTGGGTCTCTACATTGGGCATATATGTATGTATAATATGTATAATATGTATATATGTATATATCTACATATGTATATATGTATATATCTATATATGTATATATCTATATATGTATATATCTATATATGTATATATCTATATATGTATATTGTATATATATATATGTTTCATGGATCATAGCTTGAAACAACTTATATAGTCTGCAAAGTCCCTTAAACTCCACAGCGATTTGAGATCCAGAATCTCTATATATATACCCTATGGAAATTTATCATAGCTATTGAATGGGATTACCCTCTGGTAAACTAACATAACTATGGAAAATCACCATTTTTAATGGGAAAATACATTTTGAATGGTCATTTTCAATAGCTACGTTAAATTACCAGAGGGTAACGTTATTTAACCATGGGTTAACCATGAAAACTTGTGATTTAATGGATTTTTTGTGGGATATCATAGCGAACTTGAACATGGCCCAGTTCGAAAGTTCGTTGAATTACCGTAATGAAAGATGGTGATTTGCCAGTTCCCTATGTTAGTTTACCAGAGGGTGTATATATATAATATACAATTATACCTATTATGATATATCATATATCCATGAAATAAAGCCCAGATAACGACGTCATATACCCTAGTGGAATTACATGGAGTTACAAGGTACCCCGTGGTCAGTTGGTTTATACCCCCATTATAACTATATATCTACTAAACCCTAGTTTTTGGAGTTATATAATATATACCAACTTCGCTATCATGAAATCCCATCTAAATCCACATGTTGAGTGACTAAATCATCTTAAATCGCCTTTTTCCGAACCAGTTTTCATGGGGAAACTCCAATTTAGCTATCATAACTCACATAGATATATACCCATGTATATATATATACTGTATGTATATATACAATAAATCCCACTTTTAGCGACATCACAATGTCTCCCATGTTTCCGAGGTCCTCTCCTTAGAGGGTTCACCCGTGGATTTGGTGATCGAGGCGGAGCGGTCGCACCGCTTTGGTCCATGCAACATGGGTGAAACATAGCCTCCATTTTTTTCGGGACGTTTCCCATGAAAAGATATGAAAATCACCATGAAAACTATGGTAGACTAACAGAACTATGGATTTCATGGCCATTGAAATAGTGAATTTTCCCATGAAACATGGTGATTTCTCCAGTTCGTTTTTTGTAAACGTTTACCAGAGGGTAACCAGAATGGGGAAACCATGGCTGATTTGCCAGATGATTTCTAAGAAGCTCACTGATCATGATTTATCAACATGCTCATTGATAATGAATCATGCGCAAGTAAACTTAAGAATGGGAAACATGTTGATGCTCATCAATGATCATGATTTATCAATATGCTGGAATATGCTGGATTGATGAATACATCCTTATGTCCCAAGCATATCAACCATATTAGATTTGATAGGCTATCCGCATGAATGGACTGTTGGTACACTGTTGGTACACTTTCACATGGAGATATGGGGTGGAACATCAGGAGAAACATCCCCAACCGACTGGATAGGTACTTCAATCCTTTAGATCTTTATATTTCTTTGCTATAAATGGAAAATAAAATAACCATAAACTTTGCAACAGCATATGACAGCAACAATTTATTTTTCTATGGACTACCACAGATTAACATGTTCGGCGATTTTGAGATAGGTAAAAGGTGAGGCCGTGCGAGATCTCGTTCAGTTGACGCATACTTCACTTGGTGAATTCGTTTGGGTTGACGAAGGGGATGTAACGAACTACGATCTATGAGTTACCTAGGGTAAACTAACAGTTGGATGTGGAAAAGCCCTGGTTTCTGCGAAAAATGATCAAGACATGTTGGTTTCTCCACATCTTTATGTAAATTGATAGTAGGGTAATACCTCTATATGCTTTGGAGGGTAATACCTATATATATATAGACTATATATATATATACATACATATATATATATATATATACACATGGATGGTCACACACACCCCATGATCTACCTGTAGCCTTTTCTACTGGTATTTACAGTATATGTTTTTTTTTTAAAAATAAAACCTCTATTTTTCCTGTCAGCACATATATATATATAATAATAATTATTATTATAATATACATTTACCAGCATTTACCCTAAAAATCACCCAAATGTGGGATATATAAATATATATATGTAAAAGCACCTCACATAAAACACACATGTAAGCTAGTATGCACTACAGCATTGCGGCCCGAGTCAAAAGGGAGTTGGGTCGCTGGCTTAACGGTATTTTCCCCCACTGTTGTTTAGGTTTATCAGTTTATCAGTCTATTTGGGATAAGTAAATTTCCCCGCTGAAACCTGAAAATACAGGTTATCAGCCGTAGTCTCTAAAGCCATGGATAAGACTCACGATGCAACAGGTGGCTGTGCCCTTGTGCCTTCAACCGGAACAGTGTCCGCATCAACTGGTTCTCAACAGAGCTTGCCGGCTGGGACAAACCCCACGCCCATGTCAGTGGATGAAGGTTTCTTCACACAGCCCGTGCAAGCCTATTTCCAGTTCGTGCAAAACAATCTTACCTACATCAACGAAGGTAACATTGATGCTTTCAGGCAAGAGGCAGAGGAGAGGCACACACATCTCATGGAACAAAAGGTCCAGCAACTGTACCAAGAGTTTGAGGGAATTTGCCTTAGCGAAATCGCCCATCAACGTGCAGAAGCTGATCGCAGACATGAACACCTAGTGTCAGAGTATTCAATGTCCCAAACGGCAACTGAGCATGAGGTAGCAAAACTGAGACAGGAACTTAGCGATGCAAACGCAAAGCTGAAGAATGCTGCAAATGCAGTTGCACTGGAAGCTGAACAAAGAGCCAACCAAAAGGTAGCCCATGTTACAGCCCAGTACGAACAAAGGTTTTCTGAACTCAGAGGTAGCCTCGAGGCAGACTGTAAACGAATCGTGGACGAAACAGTGGAGTATGCAAAGAATGGCATGGAAGGTTTCAAGAAGGAGGAACAAGCTGTAATCCAGGAGATTAGAGAGGAATGCAGTAGGCAGGAAAACCAAGCTGCTGAACTCAACTTCCAATTGCAGGGACAAGTGGAGGATTTGATGGAGAAGCTCAACAAGTACAGCGCCCCGGAAATCAATGTCGACAGAGCCGTCGAAGTTGATGATTCACAAGGCGGGAACAATGTCGATTTGTACATGACCCCAAAATCAGCGGTCGGTACCAAGGCTGGAGCAGAACCCATGCCAAACACTGGTATGAGTAGCTTAGCCATGGACGCCAAGGAAAGGTTGAGCAATTTGTTCTCAACAACCCCTGCCGGATCAGCAGCCCCTCCAAAACTGCCACCATTGCCAGTTCAAAGACAAAATGATGATGATGCAAACCAAGAACATAGTGTGCCCAGTCCTACAGTAATAGCAAGCGACCCTGGCAAGAAAGCAGCTGATGCAGGCTTAGGTCTTTCAGGTCAACAATTGCTAGATCTCATCACTAGACTGACTTCAAAGGATTCAGATGGTGAAAAGCCCCGAACAAAGGAGGCAGAGACTATCAAACTGAACGACATGCCTGCCCCAGAAGCGTATCGTCACTGGCGTAATCATGTCAGGGATGAAGTGAAGTCGTGCTCTGACAAACCCGATGAGGCTTGGCTTTGGCTCAATGAAGTCTTTGACAACAAAACCCCTAGGGAAAAGTTGGAGGAAAAGCTGCAGGAACCTGGGAAGTTTATCACACTTGACACCAAATTGTCGGCAGCGTTAACTCGCTCGGCCAAAGGTGATTTAGCAACAAAGATCCATAACTTCAAAGATGAGAAGTCAAAGAAAGGGATCCAAGTCAGAGGTAGGAGAGTCCTTTTGATGTTTGAAGATTACTTCAGGACGTCTGAGGAAGCTGGCAGTCTCTACCGCGTCGAGGACCTACTTGGAGTCGTTCGCACTGGAGAATCTGTGGAGGACCTTAGAAGGTTTCTGAACCGATGGGACGCCACAATTGCCGGCATGGAAACCCCGCCAGATGATTTGGTTCTCAGAGACATCTTACTCAGACAAATCCGAAAATGTCAATTGATGAAGTATGACATCGAAGCATTTGACAGAGCTCCTGAAAAGTCAGAACAAAAGTCTTCTGCATTCTTGTTGAGAAACATTCGTGATCTTTTGGATAGAGAAAGACTCCGTTCAAACAGAAACAGAATCGTTGAAAAGAACAAGCAGACCGAAAAGCCTCAGCCCGCTGCACCCGCTCAGGGGGGCAAAGATCGCGGCAAAGGAAAGGGTGATCGAGGTCGATCCCGTGGTCGTAGCCAGAGTGGAAAAGGGGATAAAATATGCTACAAGTTCAGGGATGGCAAGTGCGAAAAGGGTAAAGACTGTCCCTACAAGCATGTCAAAGATTCCTCAAGATCTGGCACCCCCAAAAAGAAGGGTAAGGGCAAAGGTGGTAGCAGAAGTGGTTCCCCCAACAGAAAGTCGAAGGAAGAGATGGCCAAGATCCCATGCACTTACTTTCAACAGGGCAAATGTCGTCGTGGTGACAAGTGTTTTTACAAACATGAAGTTGCAGCTGCACCCACAAAGGATCCAAAACGCACTAATAGCCCTGCACCAAAGAAGAAGGCCAGTGCAAAAGCTGCGCCATGCATTACTCAAAGGTATGCATGCATAGCAAAGGGAAAAGGGTTGCCGAAAGCTACAAAGGCCATGAAAGAACAATGCCATAGAGCTATTGTGTTTTCATCAAAAGTGGAATACATCAAAGTCCCAGCAACAGGTGAACAGAGGAAGGTAGTGCACAAACCCCGAATCTATGAGAAGACGTTCCCTGATTCAGAGTCAGTGCCAAAACCCGACAAACTCGTGGCTCACCGTGCTCAGGTTTCGGCCCGACAGTTGCAGGAACTTGTGAAGCTCTTCGGCAGTGAGACGCAGCCCAAATGCCGATTCCGATGCAATGACCCAGAAGGGGGAGTATCATGCAACCACTGTAGAGCAATGATTGGTCCCAAGAACAAAGTCAGTAACACTCATTTGCCCACTGTTGCTACACCGGCATCAAAAGATGGATGTGTTTGGTTGGTTGACACGGGCAGTGAACAGGATTTGATTAGTGAGGGTATGCTGAAGACTGCAAAGGCGACAAACCGCCGTGTCAGCGATACCCCAATCAGCCTTGCTACAGCGAACGGTTCGACACGAGCGGATGAGGTGGCCGACGTAAAGGTCGATGCCCTACATCAGCCATTTTCACCATACATTCTCGAGGAAACTCCTGCTGTTCTTTCGGTTGGGGTCAGGTGTATGGAACAGGGTTACAGTTTTGTGTGGCCAGCTGATGGGAGGCCTTACTTCATTCGTCCGGACATGGGAGTCATCGAGCTTAACGTAGACGGCCGTGTGCCAGTTATTGATAGCTCTTGTCGCGTTTTGAACAGTGGACAGTTCAAGAAAGATTGTGATCTGTTACGTCTTTTTGCAATGGTTGCTGCAAAAGCAGAAGGTGCCGATGAAGAAGGCGTGGATGAGGGAGTAGCTCATGATAGCGAAACCGAGTACGTCAGGTCTAGAAAGGCATCTGACCTTGAGCAAGAGGCATGCAGCAAATCTCACCAGTTTTGCCATTACCCCAAGAATCCATTTTGCAAAATCTGTCAGAAGGCGCGCATGATGGCGCCACCCGCAAAGAAGAAAGGGGGACAGAAAAGGTTGGAAACCAAAAGTTTTGGGGATCACATTGTCGCCGACCATACTGTAATCAAATCCAATGTGGAAGAAGGCGTCAAAGGTGAAACAGTGGCATTGGTGATGAAGGACATTCACACTCAGTTCAGACACGTCTATCCAAGCCAGACCAAATCGAGTGAGTCATGTGTTAACGCATTCAACCACTTCTTGTCTCACAAGGATGAAGTTGGGGCAGTTTACACTGACAATTCACGAGAACTTATTGCTACAATTTCAGAGTTGGGGTACAGACATCAAACATCAACAG